CTCAGACTCTGCTCATTTTTCTTTACTCATCTTCTGTTCTGCTTTCCAGACTGGATAATTTCAATTATCTTGTTTTCAGGTTCTCTGATCCATTTTGTTCTGCCTGCCCAAATCTGCTGTTGGAATAAATATTTCATGTCAGTTATTATACTTTTCAGTTCTGGATTTTCTGTTTGGTTACTTTTTTGTAACTTCTCTCTTTTATATCTTCACTTGTTCATGCATCATTATTCTGCTTTATGTTAATTCTTTGTGTTTTCTTTTATTTCACTGAATATATTTCATGTAGTTGATTTAATTTCTTTTTCTAATAATTTCCATGTCTGGACTTTTTCAGAGATGGCTCAAATTATTATTTTTTTCCTGTAATGGTGCCATACTCTTCTGTTTTCTAGTATGTTTTGTAATTTTTTATTGAAAAAATGGACATCCGGGTATTATTGTATGTTAACTCCGGAAACCTGATTCTCCCAGAATTTTTTGCTTATTGAGGGTGGAGCCAAATAAGCATAACTTTTCCAAACTACTTTTTTTATTTTTTTGCAAAGTATGTATTTCTTGTTGTGTGTGGTGGTCTTGAAGTTTCTGTTTTGTTAGCTCTATAGTCAGTCAGCAACCTGAGGACAATTTCCCCAAATGCCTGGCTCCAACATTAAAAAAAAAAAAAAAAAAAAATGGTGCAGAGGGTGGGGGTCATACCTCTTTAAATCTTCTGATAGATAGCACCAAAGTAGCCCATTGCCACCACTGCCAAGAGGAAACAAACAAATGTCCATGTCAGTTTCTCAGGGTAGCCAAAATGCACAAACCTAAAATTTTGGAGATCACCACTGCCTACCCTGGTATCAAACAGGTGCTCCAAGAATGCAGGCTGCTATCCCTGTACCAAGGAGGCACCCAGGAAAGCAGGTGGTAGTTAATTCATGCCTCTTCCTTCATGAGGCACCCCCTACAGGTTCTAAGTTTCTGAAGAGGTTCCAGTGTTCCCAAACAGTTGATTCCAATTGATCTTGCCAGATCAGTAGATGATTCAGAGCAGTGATCACCATAGACTTTTGTGGAATTTTGCAAGCCATCATTCCTGCTTCATACATTCTTAAGTTATATAATTAGGTACATACCCACAAACACATCATAAAGGCATTTTGGTCAATGACAGACTGCATATGTGATGGAGGTTGCATATTCTACTACCCAGGGATGTCTTGTCCGTCTGTCTTAGATGTGCAAGTATGCTTTCTGATGTTCACCCAATGATGAAATCACCTAATGACACATTTCTCACAATGCATCCTCATTGTAAAGCAACACAGAACTGCTTAGGTTATTGATTTATTGATTAATTAACTTTTATCACTAAAGGATGCCCTTCTTTTTCCTCTCATAATATTGTCTTGAAGTTCATTTCATCTGATATTAACATAGTCACACCAACTTTCTTACTGTTAATATTGGAGTCATGTATTTCTTGATTTCAACCTATTTCCACTTAATATGCATCTCTGGTAAACTGCTTCTTGAATGTCAATCTGAAAACCTTAGTCTTTTATTTAATTTATGATGTAATCATTGATATCTTTCAATCTAATGGCTACTAGTTAGCTATTTGATTTTTCTATTTATCTTCTCTAAACTTCTTTGTTCTTTTTCTTTTCCTGCCTTGAGTTGATTGAGCTTTATGTTTTGGGTTTGTTGTTGTTGTTATTTTAAAATTAGCATTGCATTCTACCTTTTCTGCTTTGGGGTAATTATCGTGTGTGTGTGCATTATGATTTAACCGTTCACACATAATTTAAGTATCTTACAATTCAAATTCCTTTATGCAATTGTCATATATTTGTTATAAACCCCACAATATACATATCATTTTTGCTTTATGCAATCAATGGTCTCTTTAAGAACTGAAGAAAAGAATAGTATATTTACCCATATATCTACTATTTTTAGGACTCTTCTTTCCTTCCTGTAGATATGAATTTAATTTTGGCATCAATTTCTTTTTATCCTAAAGAACATTTTGCATTTTTTTGTAGTGTCCATCTCCTGCAATGAATTCTGTAAGTATTTACTTGCCCCTGAAACAGTTCTATTTCACCTTCATATTTGAAGAATATTTTTTCTGCATATGGAAAACGATTAGCTTTTTTTTTTTTTAGTATTTTAAAGATGCTATCACACTGTCATCTGTTCTCCATTTTTCCTAATGAAATGTCAATTATCGTTCTCATTGTTGTATCAGGTATTTTTTGTTTCCCCAGCTCCCACTTTTTAAGGCTGCCCGCCAGCCCACCCCGCCACCTGCTGTACTGGGGATTGAACCCAGGGGCCCTCTACCACTGAGCTATGTCCCCAGTCCTTTTTTATTTTGAGGCAGGGTCTAGCTAAGTTGCTTTTTTTCTTCTTGGTTTTGTGTCATACTGGTCTCAAACTTGCAATCCTCCTGCCTCAGGTTCATGAAGAGCTAGGGTCACAGGTGTGTGCCACCATGCCCAACGTTTTAAAGATGTTCTTTCTCTTTCAGCATTTGGCTACAATGTGACTAGGTGTTTCTTCTTTATACTCATGCATATCCTGCTTTAAGGAGAAGGGGATGCTGGAGGTGTAACTCAGTGGTAGAAAAGATGGTTACATGGTTGAGGCCCTAATTTAACCCTAATGCTGGTGCGCCCGCCCGCGCGCGCGCGCGCGCGCGCGCGCGCGCACACACACACACACACACATAAAGAGGTGTTAATAAAGGCGAAGAGAAACAGTTTTACAACTTTGTTATGCTCATAGTCCCCTGGGGAGAAACAGCATGCCAATGCAGGGCCACTCAGGGGAAGTGAGGGAATTGGCTGGGCATAGAGGAAATGTGTGCAGGATCCTTTTTTTTTTTTTTTTCAGGAGGGAGCGGTCTCTGGTCTCTGATCGTCTACACCTGGCCACGGGATGGCCGGGGTGGATGGCAGGGTGAACACCCAGTATAGGAGGTGGTTGAGGGTGTGAACTTAACTGGTCCTCTGGCCTCTAGCCAGGGCCTCAAAACTGGGTCAAGACAGCATAAAAAAAATACAAACTATTACAGGGAGTTACCGAGATGCTTGGATTCCTAAGTTTGATACTTTAAATCTTAACTTTTTTTAAAAAATGGCCATATTTCTCTAAATACATTTTTTTCTTCTGCCACATTTTCCCTCCTTTCCTGGGACTCTGGTTACATATTTGTTATATTTTCTCACAAGTTATTGAATCCCTGCTCATTAATTATTTTTAATCTTTTTTAAAATTCTTTGTTCTTCAATTTGGATAAATTCTATTAAATTGCCATCAAGTTTATCCATCTTTTTTTCTGTAGTGTTTTCTTTTCTTTTTTTTTGAGTTCAAAGCCAGCCTCAGCAACATAGGCCCTAAGCAACTCTGGCAAGACCCTTCTCTAATATATATAAAAAAAGGTGTGTGTGGCGGGGGGGGGGGATGAGGATGTGACTCGGATTGAACCCCCAAGTTCAATCCCTGGTACCCTCTCCCGCAAAAAAAATTCTTAGTCAACAATTTCAACATTTTGGTTGTCTGTGTTTTGTTCTTTCTTTCTTCTTGATTTTGTGTCACACATTCTTGCTTCTTCTATCTACTGACTTATAATCATATACTGGAAATTCTGAATACATTGTAGACTTTGGATTCAGTCATTTTTTTCATAAAAGCAGTTTTAGCAGGCAGTTACTGGTGGATCATCCTGATATCAGCCTTAGAGTGGGTCTATTTATTTTGTCTCCAGTCCTAGGGCCTTAGAACCCAAGTTCTAAGATACGGTATTTAAGAATAAGTACACAGGAATAAAACAGAATATGCTGAAGGTCCACATCCGGGTTTTCAGTAAAAAGCCTGAAATATTTATCAAGTCCCTCTAACTTAATGGGATACAAATTCCCAACTTTTCCTCCCCCGTGCCCAGCACTTACTGGAATCTTGGCTTGGTTTTTCCAGCCTTCCCAGTGTTGCTTTCCACTGGACCTTTTAGAATCCTGCTGTTTGTGCCCAGTGAAGGCAGCTGAGGGCTCCAGGGGAACATGTAAGGCAAATTCTGGGAGTCTGGGGCTTCTCCTTCTGGGATTTCCCCCTTCAGCTTCCAGCTACTCAGCCAGCCCTGACCTACCTTGGTCCCTCATTTTATGTCCTATTTCCTGTGGGCTACAGGAGGTACATTACTTTAAATGGGAATTTTGCCCAATGTATTTCTCTTCTTTTGATAGTTGAAAATTCAAATGTGGTCTTTAGGATAGCCAGGCACAGTGGCACACGCCTGTAATCCTAGCAGCTTGGGAGGCTGAGGCAGGAGAATGGCGAGTTTAAAGCCAGTCCCAGCAAAAGTGAGACACTAAGCAACTAAATAAAATACAAAAAAAGGGCTGGGGGCTGGGAATCAGTGGTCAAGTGCCCCTGAATTCAATCCCTGGTACACCACCGCCCCCACCTCCGAAAATTTTTCTTTTAAATTTTTTTCTTAGTTGTAGTTGGATAAAATACCTTTATTTTATTTATTTTTATGTGGTACTGAGGATCGAACCCTGAGCCTTGCCCGTGCTAGGCGCTCTACCGCTAAGCCATAACCCCAGCCCCAAATATTCTTGTGGACCTATACAAAGTAGGAGCTCAGAGAACTGGTAGAATAAACAAAGCCCATGCCACCCTCTGAAGAACTCAGCAAGAAGGCAAGGCCCAGCTATTTCTGATGCCACCTTGTCTTAAGGCTTGGCTCCCTCTCTACCAAAGTTGGAGCTGTCAGGGTACTTGCCTGCTAGATTCTGCCTGGGGCAGCTCCTAGAGGTTTGGGGCCTGGGTGCTACCCAGAGAATCCATAGCATTGGCTGCAACCAGAACCCAGCTCCGAAGTGAGACAAGACTTCAGGTAGAGTCCTCCATCCCGTCACTTCCTGTGCAACTTCTTTCACATGAAGGAGTTTGACTTTATAGATTTGCCCTTCCTGGACATAAAAACTGAATGACTGGCCAAACAGTTTGAAAGAAGAGAGGAAAAAGTTTATTGTGTTGAGCAGACCTTATTTTCATTACAGTATCAGGAAATTCTTTCTCAATTCCCTTTGGATGCAGAGATTCTGCAGACATTTAAAACCCCAATGCTGTTCCCAAGCAAGGGGCAGGCAGCACCTGAGCATGATGTTGCATTTAAAGGAACAGGATTACAGCAAAGTAGCATGATTTAAAAAGATTTCTTAAAACTACATGATTTCTTTAAAAATTCTAAGCTTTACCTCCATTTTCCCTGTTTACCTTATTTCCATGGATAATTGGTGGGAAAACATGGTAGTTGATACTCTTTTGTTCCAAATTGTCAACCTTGGTAATTTGCCTTTTTGTTTTTGTTAAGAGGAATTGTGCCCATTTCTTTGGAAAATCTAAATTGTGACAAGTAAGGCAATGCATAAATACAGTTAACCCTTCCCCCATCTGGCCTCAGCACTGCTAAGGAATGGGAAAGCTCAGGAGAGGGCCTCTTGCTTGCAAAACATCACTGCAGAGTTTAAACTTTATGGACTACTTCTGGGAAGCATGCAGCTGCTTGAAGCTAATTTTGTGGTTTGTTCTGGCAAGTTCTCAGCATTCAGTGACACCCTGGGGAGAGAGAAATCCTGTACTCAACTCACTGACTCACTACCACTATATGATACACAAGTGCTGTTTCTGTACTATGCGGAGGAATCACAAACCAAATAATGAGAAATGTGTATCCGCCAGATACTTTGAAATACCAGTAACAGCCTGAGCTAATGATGTCTAACTCGCCTGAATTAAATCAGATAATTACCAAAGTCCTCATTAAGATCTTTTTCTCACTACATTAAGGCAGAAAAAATATGAATTTAAATAAAAAACCATTACCCTACAAAAGTAGGCATATGACAAGCTATATTTCAGTTGATTAACTCAGATTGTCCCCAAAATTCCCTCTAAAAATCAAGTACTTAAAACACTAATTATTAAAATTACATAACAATGGAATATATATTTAAATAACTTTGCACATAATACATCCTCCATTTTTTGTTATCAAGACAAAGTTCATCAGGTGGCTGGACATTTCCACTTGTATTTCCATGAAATTCTATCTAGAAAAATGAACCAGCTCTCATAACTCCTAAATTGAACTATTTTTTAACTTAGGTCAAATTAGGAAGAGCAATGAACAGCAATCTTAGAAAAGGACTGCTTTCATGTAAGTAAAATTTATTCATGGGGGAGATGGGAGTTAGGGAGTCACTTTTTTGTGGGTAGAATTCAGGTAGTGTCCAAATTAAGGTGTCAGAGAAGTATACTTCTTACCTAAATTAAACTTAGGAATTCTTTCCTCCCTATCACCTGGGCCAGTCTTTCAATAACTGACTTCCATCCCCAGCCCTCAGCCTTCATTCAGGGGCCCAGTCCCCCAAACCAGGTAAAAGTTATTCAAGCAGAGTTTTAACAAAACTCAGAACAGGACAGGATGTAAGAACAGAAGAGATTAAGCTCCATTTATGCAAAATGTTTCTTAATATACATAATTCATGTAATCTGCATCTCCCAGGAATCAAACACAATGCATAGGCCTATCAGATAGCTTAGATAGGCACACATCAGTATGTTCAACTTGAAATGCAACATTCTGACAGACTCACAGTCAATCTTATAGAAAACCAACATGCTATCACTGTCCATGTGGGTAAGTATTCAGCATATTTTTAACCAAACCCAGGAGTCCAGAGACTCTGATGGTGGCATGCCCCCCAGCCCAGAAGTAGGCAGTGATGTCAACCACATATCACTGTTCACAGAACATAAAAACAGGCTCACAGTCCTGCATGTCACATTATTTCATATTAGTCTGCCAACTGATTCATAAAGGAAACTCTCTACTATGGCATGATGAAAAAGAAAGAAAAAACAAAACCATTACATACAAATGTTTTCTAAGAACAATGTGCTGTGATCAGTTCCCTGAAGCTTGAACATTCTGCACAATCAGCTCTTGCTTCTTGGAAAATAAAATTTCTTATCTGTTTTTTTAGTCACAGGATGCTTTCTCACAGCAGAGACAACAGCAAAGCTGATTAGGATCCCATTTTAGTGGCAACATCCTTTCCTGGAGCATTTGTTTAATTTGGAGAAGTGATTATGCCACATACAGCCAGGAAAGAAACTGGCAGAAGGAAGGTCTAGACCACTCTAGAAGCTGGGCCTCACATAATCAGCATGAGTTATTAATAAGACAGATGTCAGGATGGTGACAAAAGAGAGGCAACGAATGACATTAGGACACACACCCTACAGAGAATACATTTTACTCTGTATCTTTCTTCCATGCAGAATAAGCATAAGACCAGAGAGCTGGGAGAAGGATGGCTGGTGGGAACAGCATTTAAAAGCATGTCCCAGTGACTGAAGCATTTCCTGCTCAACCTTCCAGACGACACAATGGGAAAATGCACATTTCTTCCCACAGTTGTAGACAGCAGCTGCAGCAGTCTCTCTGAAAGCTTAACTAAATGTGAAGATGACGCCTGGACAAATGTTTCTTGATTCCACTGATCCTATTCCTTCAGCTGCTCGGACGAGGCGAGAGGTGGGGCAGGGTGAAATCATGCCACAGCCTTCGTCACAGCAGCCACTCTGAGTGACCTTTCCAGTCTCAGACAAACTTATCTACCCAACTTTTAATGAAATAATGAAACCAGAGTCAAAAAAAGCTTCTCCAGACTGACTAGGAGGCTCCTAAGCTAACTTCTGCATTTGAAAACAGAAAAAATTAAGTTACCTGTATTTGTGGTAAGATTGTGATTTTTTTAAAAAGACTGCCCGTCAGCGTGTTACCTGGCTTAGAAGGGTGAGGATGTGGCTATGCACTTGTGCCGACTCATTTTTAAAATTTCTTGGTGGTGCTGGGGCCTTGCTCGTGTTAGGCCAACACTCTACCACTGAGTTCCTTAGCCTTTTTCATATTTTAAAAAAGCAGGCAAAAGAGGAAAGAACAAGCCTGTGTGAACTGGTAGGCAGATGTGGTGCCCATCAGTGCACAAACTGCTGAACTCCACGCCTGGGCAGAGATGGCACCTCACACCTGCTCAGGCCAACACCACATCCAGGAACCTAACGGCCCATCGGTTAGGAAAGGCTGCTCCCATGGGGCGACACTGAGCCACTGCAGTGAAGACACACAAAATAGACTAAAGGGCTGACAGTGCTTTGTGATGCAGTCAAATCGTGTCAGAACTAGTGTGGACTCAGTCATTTTCTGGAAGTCGAAGGTAACCAACAGATCTAAAGTAAAAGGGATATGGGACAGTGTAGAGAAAAATACAAGTTCTTAAGTCAGAATCCTTCCTGGACTTAGAAGCAGGAGCATTTTGGTAAGAAAAGTCCAAGCCAAATGTCCCCTGGGTCTGAGAGAAGAGTAAGCAGGAAAGGGCAAACAATACAGTGACCATCCTGAGGGAGCCCAAGCCCTCAGAGATGGATCACTAGAGGGACTTACTATGGCTGTGTCCAGTCAGGAAACTGATAACAGATGTTCTTTTAAGAAAGTGGGAGGAAAAAGTAAGGATTTTCAAAAGTACAAAAACTGTTTACAAAATAATTACCTAGAAAGTTCACTGGGATTGGGTAGAGAACAGGAATAATGTTTTCATTTCAAATTAGCCACGATACTACTGATGGTTTATAAAAGAGGATGGCCAATTTCTAGTCTTCCTCCCCCAACACACAGAGCCATTCTACTGTGCTATCTTCCCTATCATCTCCCCAACCCACACCCATCCAGCTCCCAGATTAATTTGCTTAGCCACTGCACCAAGCCAACCTTAAAGATACATGATTGTTGGATGGGTTTCAATTAAACAATGATGCTAACACTTGGGAAAACAATGTGGGGTTGGTAGGGTGTGGGGAGAAGGGGGCTAGGAAGGAACACGTTGGCATAAACCTCCAGGTATGTAGACCTTGGATAAGGCTTCTGCTGGCCTGAACCAGAACAGGTGGGCATATGCAGTGCAGCCTGAGCTACAGGTAAGCTGAGGTAAGGAAGAACATGGCATCTCTGCTGGTCTCCTTCCCATGACAGTACAGCATGTACGTGATCTTGGATGTGGACACCAAAGGACTTATTTTCTTCCAGTTGCTGCTGCCATTTCTTCTTCTAGTGAGAAGATTGCTCTTTACAGAGTCCCAAAAGATCAGCCACTTGTCTTCCTCTGAGGTACAAATCCAATAGAGCCTTAACCCCCAAAATCCAGCATCCACTGGAAGTCAAAGTCAAATGCTCAGAATCAAAAGGTGTGGCACACCTGCCCAGTCAATTACCAGCAGTTGTATAGACAGATCAGAAAAAACTAGCATTTAGTATAAAACTGTTTTTCAAATGATGTCATTTCTTAACTTCTCCAGAGATCATAATTCTTCATGTTTCTGATATTCTATAGAGAAGGAAAACAATGAAAAATAAAACAGATTATCCTCTAGTTATAAAAATACAGAGTGGGCATCTTTTATAACCTATGATTTGTACCCCCACCTCCACTGTATCTCTTTTTCTTTAATTTTAGGAGCCTTTAGTTTGATGTTTTTGAAAGCAAAAATAAAATAAAGGACACTTTTATTTTTAAAAACATTGAAACTACCTGCAAACCCCATTCCAAATGAATTGTCTTCACAGTATAGTGTTAACTTTCAGTACATGAGCAGTGTTTTCAGTCAGCTACCTTCTTTTCCCACTTATTATCATATAAATATTTCCCTACATATCAGAGTAGCTCACTTTTGGATGTTTAAACAGTTTTTATTGTTTTTGGTTTACAAATAATAATAAATTTCTTTATGAATATAATTTTTTTCTTGTGCTGAATTATTTCTTTAAGATAAATTCTCAACCAAGAATCTGGGGGCATAGCACTGCTTTTTAACAAGGGTGTCCTAATACACAAAGCCTTGGGAAAGCACACACACAGTTCATCACCATCTTCCCCAACAAATGTGTCAATATGTCTACTTTTACTAATGACAGACTACTTCAACTTGATTACTGTTTGCTAAAATCCACTTAGTATTTGTGTTCTTCTCTTATTGGAACAGTGTATTCACATTCTTTTTCCATTTGTCTATGGAAATCCTTGAGGTTTTATAAATGAATTTGAATTATTTTTATAATAACTATGTAACATTTCAGTGTCATAGTACAGTTTTCAGGATGTATAGGCAAATCATTCAGGTCCATGTTCTGCATTTGCTTTTATATATTAGTTTAAAGCAGAATAAATCTTAACTTCCCGAGCCTGGTTTATTAATAGTTTTTTTTTTTTTAAAGTCACTTTTGTATTCAAATGAATATTTTTCAAGTGACTACCATTCAATATAACAGGGAGAACATAGTATAAAGACTTAAGTCCTTTTTATCCTTAGCTTGAATTAAATAGAAACATTTCACCCCCACCTCCGAGAACTATTTAAAAAAATCCATTTCCATATGCCTATTTTAAATAAATAATATATTTTTCAAATCAAAACAATATTTTGTCTTGACCTAAGCTTGTTCATTCACTAGTGCCTAAACTAAAAAAAATGGGAATCTGAGAAGAGCTTCCCAAAATATCAGGCTTGGCTTCAATGGCACAAAACTCCTAAAGCTAAATAATAATCATGATTAAAGCATCTTTTTTCCCCCTCAACCAAAAGAAAGGAAAGAAAGGAGGAAGGAAGACAGGCAGGGAGGTGAGCAAATGAATTAATAAACATTGCTTAGAAGGCAAAATGAAAAATAGACATTGATTGATGGAAGGATTAAAGGGAGATTTATCTTTTCCTTTCATTCATCATTCTGTCATTTTTGCTTCAAATCAGAAACACAGAAGAGCACTTACCCAAAGCCAAATGTCTGCACTTACCTTCTTGGCTCTGATTTTTTGTCTTCCCCTTATATAGTATTCCTATTTCTTTCTCCTTCTGAAAACGGGTCTGTAGCTGTTTGATCTCTTGATCATAGTCCTGCCACTCTGGGACAATCCGCACAGCAGCCTCCAGCTTGGGCTCTTTGGTCATTGGATTATTACACTGTAAAAACCAACAAACACAATTCAGCTGAGTTGAAGAAAGGGTGCATTAATATACAGAATCCAAATAAGTCTCTATTCTTGGGTTAAAAGTCCTAACTGGACAAAATGAACAATACTGAGAATCTCAATGATATAGTCAGCAGAAGCAATATGGGAGTGGGTTATATAAAGCTGTAGTTACTTCTTCTATGAAGAAGTTGTGGAGAGCTGCCAGAAGGCAACAAAAGCAAAAGTCCAGTAGGAAAATTAAAAGGCACAGAAATGAGCCAGAAGACAAGAGTGACTCAGCAGTAGGTAAGTCCTGAAAACAGTCCCATCTGATGCTAGGGGAGTTAGCTTCCTGGGTGGGTGTAGAAGAACATCATAGACAGCTCACCAGATCAATGGTTTTTGCCCTTTTCTTAGAAGCATCATCACACCATGTTTCACACCAAAGCCATTCTTGAGGGAGGGATTTGATTGGCACCTGATGGATCATGTTATTGGGCAAATCCTGTTTGGTAAAGAAAATAAAACACAAGAATCTAAAGTTCTGGAGGAAATTTAAATAAATGCATTGCAAAGCAGTGATGTTAGCTGTTCACTATGCATCACATACCAATCATAAATGTTTTAGAATTAAAGGGGTCCTCACCAAAAGACTAAGAGAAATTAAGGAATTTATTTATGGCATTTTTTTGAAACTTCAAAATCTAGAGAATCCATGAGCAACTGAAAACTGTACCCATAATAAACAAGAGAAAAATGCTGGCTTATACCCACACTTCCTTCTATGGAGGCGATAATAAGAAAAATACTCCTGCTCACTTTTGAAAGTGAGTATAGAGAGGTGGTTCTTAAAATTTATAGTTTTCAAAAAAGAGAAGCTTTTTTTGTGTTGAGCTCAGCTCCCAAAAAGACGAGGCCCACATTTTTCAAGTTTGTCACAATAAAAATGTTCCATTGCCCTAAGACTTACACAGAACAAAACACTGATGGAATAAAGTAAGGCTCTGGATTCAATCTTTAGCAGAAATGAAAAGAAAGGAAGAAGAAGGCACTTGAAGGCATGGGAGAGCTAAAGGGACACTAAGAATTATGGGGACACAGGAGAAAAGAGACCCACAGAGATAACTCTAGAACCTGGGGTTTTCCACTCAGGGCTACATAGTTTAATAAGGTTCCCTGAGGCTTTTAACAGCAACTCAGGCCTAAGGTAACAAATATTTATATATAAGGCCTGTGGTGGCTGAGGGGAGTTCTGGTGAGACCAGCTTTGGGCTGGTGTACTAAAGGAACACACCCTATGATTAGAGACAGAATCAGCTCCACTAGAGACTGTCTAACTTCAAATCATCAAAATCCTAAACCTGGATTAAAATCATCCTGGACAACTGTGCCCCCAAGTTTCTGACAGAATAAAACATAAATTCTGTTGAATGATACCATTAATCTAGGCCTCAAATTATCTCCATAAATAATTGGGCAAAAACAATGACTGACACACTAAAAAAAAAAAAAAAAGATATATGAGAGATGAGAACAGGAATGGCAGACAAGAAAATAAGATCCATGGTAGCTCCATAATTGATACACACCAGATATCACACAAAGACTTTAAAGATATTCACTATGTACAAGATTTAAAAATTTTAAAATGAGAATTTCAGCACAGAACTGAAAACAAAGATATCTAAATGAGAACACACAGCCAAAATATCATAACCAAAATAACCAAAAACAAAGACAAAGTTAAATAAATTAGACAGCAAATAACAAAAATGAAGCACAGAAAGAAAATAAGGGAATAGAAAAAAGAATGTTAGAGAAATTCAGAGTTCAATAACAGAAGTTTAGCTTATGTGTAACTAGAATGTTAGAAAGTAGAGAACAGGACAGGAGCATTACAAGGAACCCTAAGACCATGTAAGAAAAATCAAAGTGAAAAAGTAGGTATATATTGTAAGGAAATCTGCTGAAAGCCAATACAAATGTTAAACAGAGTCAGAAGAAAAACAAATAATCTCCAAAGGAAAAACAATTAGAGCAGTAAATAATGTATAACGGAAACATTTGAAAAAGATAATAGAAAGTAAATTGTATTTAAAGTTCTGAAATACTAAATAACTGCCAAGCTGCAATTTTAAAGTCAGTGAATGTTCTTCAAGAATAATTGCAGGGCCGGGGACTTAACTCAGTTGGTAGAGTGCTTGCCTTGCATGCACAAGACTTGGGTTCAATCCCCAGCACTACAAAAAAAAAAAAAAAAGAATAAGTGAAAAAGAATGAAGCTGGATGGACCCTTACCTTGTATGATATATAAAATTAACCAAAAAATGTTTAAAAGACCTAACTGTAAGAACTAAAACCAAAAAAATCTTAGAAGAAAACACAGGGGAAATCTTCACGACACTGGATTTGGCAAGATTTTTTTAGATGTGACAGCAAAAGCACAGTGGGGTTGGAGGTGGTAGGGATTAAACTAGGACTTAGCATATACTAAGCACTACCACTGAGCTACACCCCTAGCCATGCAACTCACAATTGATAATGGGTTAATATACAGAACATAAAGAACTCCAACTCAACAACAGCAAAATCAATTAAAAATGGGCAAGATACTTCAACAGATATTTCTCCAAAGATCATAAACAAATGGCTAACATAAATGGCACACAAAAAGACAACCAATATTTTTACCACTAGAGAAATAAAAATCAAAACTACAATAAGATCTCATTTTAGGATGATTTTGTTCACTGAAAACTTTAAAGAAAAAATAATGCTTTCAAAGACAATTTAAATTCATTCAATGAATGAAAACAGACTTTAGGTATTCAGGTAAAGTAAGCATTTTTCTACAGAAATTTTTATAATTTTAAAAGAAAAAGGTAATTGGATCATCAGAGTACAGCTTTGGCCCAAATATTTAATATTTGGGTGAAAAATCAGTGAATACTTTCAAACTTTGAAAGTTTGAACACTTCTCAGGAGAAGATAAAATACCTTTCTCTAAATTATTATAAACTGCTCTTATTACAGAAAAGTCAGTAATGTAATAGAAAATAATTTGTTTTTTATTTGTTTGTTTTTAGTTCTGTTCCTAGCAAAACAATGTAAGGCCTCTCACTAGACCCTGGACATGTACGGCTTGTTGTATAAGAAAAAAAAATTAAACAAATAATCAAACAACAAACAAAAAAAGATCTCATTTTATACCCAATAGGATGGCAATTATTTTTTTAAAAAAATTGGGTGGGGAAAGGGGTGGAGAATAAGAAGTTTTGGCAACTGTATGGAGAAAATGGAACATTTATTTGTACATTTCTGGTAAGAATGTAAAATAATACAGCTACTGTAGAAAACATATGGCAGTTCCTCAAGAAGTTAAACAGAGAACTACCAAATGATTCAGCAATTACACTTCTTGGTATATTCCCCAAATTGAAAGCAGAAATTCAAATAGATATTTGCATATCAATGTTCATTAACAGCCTTGTAGACAATATTCAGAGGTAGAAATAAGTCAATTATCTATGAATAGATGAATAAATAAACAAAATGTACACACATATACAAAAGAATATTATTCAGACTACATAGAAAGGAAATTCTGACATGCTACACAACACAGAGGACATTTTGCAAAGCAAAATAATCCAGACAAAAAAAGACAAATGTTACATGATTCCACTCACATGAGGGACACAGAAGTAAGCAAATTCATAGAGACATAAAGTAGAAAAGAATTTACAGTGGCAGAGGGTTACAGACAAGAGGATTATTTAATGGCTACAGAATTTTAGTTTGGGAACATGAAAAAGTTCTAGAGATGAATGATAGTGATGGTTGCATGACTATGAATGTACCTGATGTTACTGAACTGTACTTCCAAAAGTGGAAAAGATGGTATTTTATGTATATTTTCCCATGATTAAAAATAATATTAGGGCTGGGGTTGTGGCTCAGCGATAGAGTGCTCACCTCGCATGTGCGAGACCCTGGGTTCAATCCTCAGCACCACATAAAAATATATGAATAAAATAAAGGTATTGTGTCCAACTATAACTAAAAAATAAACATCAAAAGATAATAATAATATTAAAGGTAAAATACAGACACATAGATAACAAAACTAAAAAAAACTGATACTAGTTGAACAGACACAAAGAAAAATTTAAAAATATTTTTCATCAAGTCTACTGGCATACAAATAATGGGAGTCCTAGAAGAAGGAGGAACTAGAGGGAGGAAGGAAGAAGGAAGAAGGGAAGAGGAGAAGAAGAACGAGGTGTAAAAAGAATAGAAGAAATAATGAAAACTTCCCAGATGTAATGAAAAAAAATCTACACATATCCAAGAAGTTCAACATACTCCAAGTAGGACAGATTGAAATAGACTCACACCTCAACATATTAAACGATCAATAGAGAGACATAGAGAGAGGGTATCTTAAAACCATCATTAGAAATGCAACATGTCATGTACAAGGGATCTCACTAAGACTACATCTAATTTCTTATCAAAAACCACGGAGGCCAGAAGTCTTTGGAGGCCAAGATATTCAAGGGGTTCAAAGAAATAATGTCAAGCAAAAATTCTATGCCCAGCAAAACTCATCAAAAATAAAGGAGAAATTTCCACACCCTATGAAAGTTTGCAAATAGTGAAGTCACGCTGTCAAAAATACTAAAGAGGGTCCTTTAGGATGAAATGGAATGACACTCGAGAGTAACTGGGATCCACATGAAGAAATAAAAAGAGCACACCAGTAAATATTAGAGATAGTACCAATGCATTTCTTGTTTGGAACTTTTCCCCCTCCTATCTGGTTTAAAAAACAACTATGAAAAGAAATAATTATAAATCTGTTGATGGGCGCATAATACATATAGACTATATAAAAATACAAAGGGTTAGCTCCCGCTGCCCCCAGTGGGTTGGGGGTGGGTACACGGATTAAACCCAGAGGCACTTTATCACTGAGCAAGATTGCCAGTCCTTTTTATTTTTTAAAGTTGCTTAGGGCCTCACTAAATTGCTGAGACTAACCTCAAACTTGCGATCCTCCTGCCTCAGTCTCCCAAATCACTGGGATTACTAAATGAGGTTGTTGTTTATGCTTTGAAATAATTCCTTGGTGTATTTGAATATGCATACTTTTGTTTTGTACACTCCATGGACACTGTATAGCACAATTATTTTTTTCTTTTTTTTATACTGGGGATTGAACCAGAGGTACTTAACCACTGAGCAATATCCTAGCCTTTTTTAATATTTTATTTAGAGACAGGGTCTTGCTACGTTGCTTAGGGACTCACTAAGATGCTGAGGCTGGCTTTGAACCCGTGATCCTCCTGCCTCAGCCTCCCAAGCCTCTGGGATTACAGGCATGTGCCACAGTGCCCAGCCAAGGTTAAAAAAAAATTGGGGGGGTTGGTAGGGGGTGGTTACTGAGAATTGAACTCAGGGGCACTCAACCACTGAGCCACATCCCAGCCCTGTTTTAGAGACAGGGTCTCACTGAGTTGCTTAGCACCACACTTTTGCTGAGGATGGCTTTAAACTAGAGATCCTCCTGCCTCAGGTGTGTGCCACCATACCTGGCAAAATTTTTAAGGCAACTTAAGCAAAACAAGTAGGTGAAACTATGTATTTAAAACACAGCTTTTGGGGCTGGGGTTGTGGCTCAGCGGCAGAGCACTCGCCTCTCACGTGTGAGACCCTGGGTTTGATCCTCAGCACCACATAAAAATAAGTAAACAAAATAAAGATATTGTGCCCATGTATAAATAAATAAATAAATCACAGCTTTTTAAAACTCCAATATCAACTCTGAAAAATGCTTAGCATTAATAAACAATAATTCAGCTAACTTTCTTGCAACATATCATGGTTTCTAACAGAAAAAAGGGAAACTGCAATACTACACTTAATTATATGAATCCTAAGCTATTTAGTTCCTAAACTAGGGGGGCAGGGAATTGACCCTACAGGGAGAGAAACAAATTTATCAGATGAGGTTAAATACAAAATTAAAAGATAAGGTAATGGTTCCAAAAGACAACTCCCTCCTTCCATGTCAACCGACATCAGGTCTCTGTGACATTTTTTACTCTTGCTATGCCTTCTCTTGAGGTCAGATGTAAATGTCAAACACACACACACACACACACACACACACACCTTTTCACGAAGAAATAAGACACAGCTCTGAGAGTAGAGATTTGAGACACAAATAATACTTTGTTTTTCTGACACAACACACTATACCCACCACTGAAACTATTTATTAACCATAAAAAAATGGCCACTTACTTGGTCAAGATTTGAAAGGCTGTTAGGATCTTGACTCAGACCTTGGTACTGTCCCCTGAGTCTGTCACCAGCTGCTATTTTCCTAAATTTCTTCAGATCCACAACATAGAGTGCACTAAACAGAGAAGACCTATTTGTTAAAACCAACCATGGATTTATGGCAGAAAAAGAAACCCCACTGAATAATGGAATAGCCAAACATTCTGGTTTCTCTGTGAAAAGGTGGATTACAGCACTATAATAGAGTTAAATGTCAGTATATGATACCACAAAGATGAATAAGAAAGTCACTGCAAAGTTCCTACTCTGTCCCAGTAGCTCACCTTGGTCACTCTTCCTTATTTGTCTTCCAAGGAAATAATTTCTGGCAAAAGACTTCTACAAATACAACATATTTGGTAGTAAAGCTACAACTGATAAAGAACCTTTAGTCAAAGATATCCTAATGATGTCCCATATGTACAAAGGAAAATACCTACAGTATTATAGTATTTTTGGACCAGGACCTAAAGACTGAAACTAGTCACCATATCGCATCAATCACCTGTAGGTGCCACTTCCTACAGGTAGGTCCCTGCCCTCCAAATAATCTAAATCACACTTTTCCCAGAGAAAACAATGAAGAATTTATTAGAAATGCAATGAATATATACAATGATTAAATTAAGAAGTCTCCTATAATAGGAGTAATCTATCCTATAAATATATCCTATAAATCTATCCTATAAATATATCTGAAATATGCAAAATAATATATTTAAGAGATTATCTATCCTATAAATAATCTATCCTATAAATATATCTGAAATATGCAAAATAATATATTTAAGAGATTATTCATTGCATTATGGTATGTCATAGGAAGAGACTACAAGTAACACACATATGCGAATAATATACAGCTTAAAAAGGGGAAAAAGGTCCCTCTCTATATAGTGATACAGGATCTACAGGTAAGGTATTTAGTTTTTAAAAAAAAGTAACAAAATAGTATTAAAAAAGACGGTATATTTTGTATAAAAAAAAAGGACATACATTTATAGTTATTCATATAAAAATTAGACTCCAGAAGAACAGATAGTAAATTTAGGGGAGGTTATCTGTTGCAGGGGTGGGAACTCGGTAAAAGAGAGAAATAGGAAGGTTTTTTCCATTGTTTTTTTCCCCCAACAATTTTCATTTTTTAACCATATTAACGTATCACCTATTTGCAATTTTAAATACACATAATTAAGTTTAAAGAACAAAAACTACAAAACATTATTAGGCGTTTTCTTTTTTCAGTACCTGATATGATACTTTCGCCCAGCTAAGTGACTAGCCCAGTACCCTGACTTCCAGAATCTGTAGCCATCCATTTCTCTTCGGCTATCACAGAAAGGAGTATAACCATAAGGGGCACCATCCAAATTGAAATCTCTTAACTCTTTCAGATCTGTTCGTACAATCTGGAGAAAAGAGTATCAAAAGTCATTTGTTAAGCCACCATGCAGACATCTCTAATGCAGTTTCCTTAGAATACAGAGTGCCTCACATAGGTGACAGGGAGGGCAGTTAGGTGAGTGATGGCACAGGCTCTAACAGACGCCTAGATTCCTCCACTTCGTAGCAGGATGCTCTCACTAACATGGAAGACACTTAGCCTAGTATGTGGCAAATAATATTTTAACTATTCAAAAGAAGTAGAATAAACTTAACATGCTTAGGTTTACTGTGCGTCCGTTTCCTCATCTATAAACTGGAGATGATGATAGTCCCCATCTCACAGTGTTGTTGGGGGAATGACATGAGTTAACATACAGAAAGCTATGGAACAATGCCTTCTCCAATATAAGTGCTCACAAGGACAGAATATGGCCATATTACAATCAGGAAAACGTATTTCAGGTTGAGCCACCTAAGACAGGAGGTTCCAAAGAGGTAGTGAAACTTTTTGTCCACATGACTTTTGCACACATTATATCACTTTCATTCAGGTAACTCGGGTTTCAAGCTGAGGGTAAGACAGAAGGCTGGAGAGCATAAGTGCATTTATGCTATTTGAGTTTGTATGCTTTAAAATGTGTTCCTTGTGATTAAGTAAAATCCTGATAACTGGAAGAATATCTGTAGCAGTCCTAATTATCAAGGCCAAGCATCCACTTGAGCTTTTTCTATCACCCAGACCAATAACACCTTATCTTTGGGGCAGAATAATGGAGATGGTGGCAAATACTGTTAAAACTTTATTTCCTAATTTTTCATTTTTTTGTTAAATGAATTACGATATAAGACTGCATTCATGATGTTATCATAATTACTGTTAAAAAGACACAGAAAAAGATAAAAGGACATATAATAAATGCAAATTAAAGTTAAAAATTGATCACACCTGGGTGATACCTTCTATATTTTCTTAATAGTGTAAACATAAGCAGGCACTTTTTCATAACTGGAAAATAACATTTTAAAAACAGAAAGAAGTCTGTTGCCTTTAAGACAAATTATTACAATCTGGACTTTCAGAGCTTACCTGATCAGCATCCACAAACAGAAATTTGTCAACAACTAGTGGGAAAAGTACATCCAGGAAAAGAATCTTGTAGCCCCATATGATACGCTGTTTTTCAGTCTGTTGATGAAGCCACCGAGGCCATTTGTACTGAACAAGTTCATATTGGAAATTGTATTCATTTGCCATGTAAGGTATAAACTCCTTTTTTTAGACAAAGGGAACAACAATCATTCATTATGATTAAGAAAATTGACTTCATAATATAAGTCAACCACTGTGATTATGGTACAAGTAAAACACATTTACCAAAACAGTAGTCTAACAAAAAAATTGGAAACCAACTGACTTGAGATTACTTTAAAGAACATATGTAAACCTCTTGTCAAAACCCTTTCTTTTTGACTTTTAGTTACCACATGAAATGACAGAATCTGCAGGTGAAGGCTTTAGATCTAAAACCAAACAGGCAGGCACATGCATGCATACATGCACACACTTAAAGACATATGAACTTCAAGTTCATTTGTATAAATCTGATTTCAGTAAAAATATTTTTTTTAAAATAAAAATATTTGTTTTTTTGATGATGCTAGGGATTGAACCCAGGCCCTTGGGCATTCCAGGCAAGCAATCTGCCTCTGAGCTATACTCCCAGCTCCCAGTTAAATATTTTTTGAGCTTGATTATAAGCTTTTCTCAAGGTTAGTTCTAACCAGGGAATAAGATGGCAAAGCCAAAATCACACATAAATTTATTGTCATTAATAAATAAAACTTTTAGATTCTAAATACAAATACGTTTAGGGAACCAGAATTATTTCTTTATAAGTGATGTTACTGAATATATTAAAAGGTGTTTAATGTGATAAAAGGGGAAAAATTAATTTAGGTGACAAATCCTAACTGATACAAATAAAGCAGAAAACTTCCCAGGTGTGTTTTTGTTTTGCACAGATGAAGCATTACTCCACATATCATCTGGCAGTGGTTCAGGAGAAAACTAATCCTTCTCCTCCACACAAACCATCACTGACTTTTCTAATTAAAGTCAGACATGCATGTTTCAGAGGAAGGGAATGCTATTTCATTAAAACACTGCTTCTTAAAAAGATTAGACTCTCCTATATTATCTAAGTTTCAAACAGGTCATAGTTTTGTAACATGTTCACCCCATAGAACAATCTGTTGTAAGGAAAATCAACATAGACATACACAACTAAATTAGGGTAGTCAAATAAAAGGAAAAATTTTAAAATATAAAGATAAAACAAAAGCAGTAAAAAAAAAATATTGTAAATATCTCCCTAATAAGAACAGTTTTCTTTTTCCTATGAAACAAACCTTAAATGTGGGGGACAAATAATTCTTCAAGAACCAGAACTTCACAGGAGTCTTAGTATTCTTTAGCACTGATAGCATCATTATGCTGCCAAACAAAAACAAATAATAATAATAATAATAATGTTTCAATGCTTTTTAACTCAATAACATTAAGCAAAATCAATAACAAGGCAGCACAGCAAACAGAGACCCTTAGTAATGGAAAATGTACTTATTCTTATTTATAAAGTTATCACTGAATGGGAGAGAAGGGGCATTTCTCTATAAAAATATACCTAGCTAACTGAGGAAAATGTTAATTCTGCTGTACCTTTAAGTAAACTGCTTCATGAACTGATATATCAATTATAGTACAAGTAAACACTAGAGGTTGTGGTAACTGAATATATCACTCCTCAACACCCCTGTCAAGGCACAGCAGCATTGGTCCTGAGAACATGTACATACATGCATTACCTCCCTCAGACTGGACAGAGAGCCCTGCCAAGGAGAACAAGGAAGAGCAAGGGGAGGACAGTGTGTACAGGCTCAAGATTCCTCAATCAAGGCATTTAATTAAATAAATTATTACCATTGTCATTATTTTAGGTCAGAGGTTTTTTAGAAACTAAAGGATAAAAATGACATTTTGATTATTTTCTATACTAGATTTGCAGTGAAAAAAAGAAAAAAGAGACCTGATTATCAGGCAAAGGGATGTCTTCAGAACAGAGTCTCTCAAGTGCCTTCCTCTCTGGTGGCCCCAATGTCAACAAGTCGAAGCCTATAGTCCCTCTTGCCTCTGGTTATGTGACCTAGGCAAGTCCCTTCCAGCTCTGGGTCTTAGTTTGTATAAAACAGAAGTTTTCTTACCTATGAACTAAGATTCCTCTTGACTCTGTAGAAGGTGAAGTGTTCATGGTCCTATTCTATTCTCTATGTCTATCTCCTAACATTTAGTAGCCAAATAAACAATACTATCTATAAAGTGTGCACATGATATTCAAAATCTATAGTCTTACAATATACATAGAGGTATTCACTACTAGGCTTCATGGAGTTGACCAGATCAAAAAAAAAAAAAAAGGACTGCATATAGTAAGCTACTCAAAGTCCTCAGAGTGCTCTAAATACACTTAAGTACAATAGGCAGAATCCAAAAAAACCTCTAAATAGGAATACCATGACAAATTCACTTACAGACACCAAAATAATCAACAAGACTAACCGAAGAAATCTTTCATAGAGATGACCAGATGCAACAGAGAAAATATTAATTATGTCATCTTTATCTTGTTTCACTTCCTCCGCCTTCTGGCCTCCTGAAAAGCCCCTGTAACAAGAGATAAAAACAGGATTCCATTACTCTACTGTTATGTATATCTAAAAAGAACAAATAAAATAATTATTAAAAACAACAACAACAAAACAAGACTCCATGAGATGCTGGAAAGAGAGTGCCTTCCCATTCCTATTCTTGCCCAAGAGGGTAAGAAGGGGCAGGAGTCACAAAGCACCCAGCACTCTGGGAACAGGCACAAGCCTGAGAAGTCCACCCACAGGCTAACAAGGAGGATGCTCAGGGTAACAAGGAGGATGCACGTGTTAACAAGGCATTATGTTGCTTTAGGAATAGGTGGCGCATGGGCTCCACAGACACAGTCTGTACAATCAGAAGTAAACTAAGCAATTATCAATCACTTCTCCAAAGAGCAGGCACAGCCCAACAAAAGTTAAGAAGCATGGAACAGAAGTAAGTCCATCAGGAGACACTAACCTCCTTTGGTTAATTAATTGGAAAATACCCATCTATTCCAAAGTAAGAATACTCACCTATTCCAAATCTGGCTACGAGAAGCAGAACGGAAAGTCCCAAATACTAACTCAAAAGGAGGGATGGATGGTGCTTATATCTGTTTTTCCTTAAAAACATTATTTTATGATGCCAATTTACCATTTGAATGAGTCCCAAAATCCAGATTCATTCTCATTTGTCCCGTCACTCAGCAAGTCTTCGTTCACCATGTCTGCCTTCTTCTGAACCTACAATGTACATGGCAGATTATATTCCTCCGAGTATGTCCAGGAGACGTAAAACTAACTTACACTGGATGTATGCTGTGAATTCTCTCATAAGCAGTTACAGCCCCAGATGGAGCCTATCAGAATTCAACATAAATGCCTCCATCTGATGTTCACATTAGAGCCTTAAGTGAGAAGACAGTCATCTCTTTTAATGAAATAACCATTTTTAACTTGTATAATGAGCAAAGAACCTCAAATTCAGATGCATTGAAAATGCAGTCTAAATAAAACTAGAGCCACAAGTCACCAAGCTAACAGTGGATTCTAGGAAAGAGACATTTAGGTCATGACCTGTTTTCAGGTTTTACTAACACAAACATGGGGTGAATTTTCTCAACAGCATGGTTTTCTGCTCAACCATGCAGGCTGACTCTATGTTTTCCTGTGTGTAATGATTATTTATTCCAAAATACATTTTACTTTAATTGAAGGCACAAAGAACTTCAAAATGCTGAGGAAGAACTACCATTTCATTGTTCAATTTTCAACGTCATTTTCCCCGAATATTCTGAGAATGAAAACATGAATAATACTATAAATTGTGACTACATAGCAACAGAGCCTCTACTGAAAACATTTTATATAAAATCGGAATGATTGCTCACTGAGACTACCCAAAAGGTACGATCTCTTGGTTAAAGAAAATCACCAGTTCACATTTACAAAGACATTGTGGCTTAAAGCAACATTCCTAATATTGCTACAGTAAATTCCAAAGAGAATCCTTGGGCTGGTTTCAGCACTCATTCCTCCCCCCCATCTATGGGAGACATGTTCAATGAATCAAGTCTCTTTGTGGAGCCTGAAACCTCAAGCCCTGTATATACTATCTTTTTCCTTATACACACCCAACTGTGATAAAGTTTAATTTACAAGTAAGACACAGTAAGAGATTCACAATAATAAAAAAAACAGAACAATTACAGCGATATATTATAATGAAACTAAAGTGAATGTGGTCTCTCTCTCTCTCTCTCTCTCTCTCTCTCTCTCAAATCAAGAAAAACAATAGTATTTTCAGACCATGGCTGACCGTGGGTGACTGAATCCTAGGGTTAAGGAGGAACGGCTGTCTGTATTTTTACATGTTATCTTCTGAACACAAAGTACTACTACTTTGACCAACTATAAAGAGGGCTGCCTTTCATACAGCAAACTCACCTTCACTTTAATAATTTTGCTTTTGAAGTTGTTGAGGACGACAACCACCTCATCAGCATCGGGAGGAGAATCTGTACCGTCGTGGCTTAGACAGAAAAGCAATAGACATTACAAACCATAATTCTCAAAATGCAGTAGATGGTCAGCCAACAATATGCCCTATTTTTTCATCACCTTTATCGTAAAGGAGTTTTTCAGAACCAGTAATTTCCTTACAACCTGAAGGAAACCCCTTCGAGCTGCACAAAAGCACCTGTTGAGCTCTCTATATGGTGAGTACCCAAACTTCCTTTACAAGTTCTCCTCCGAATCTCTTGTCATAGACTGAGAGGTTCCCAGGCATGGAACACGCACGTGCTGAGCACTGAACAAGGGCATGTGCTCACAGGTCTGACCCACGCAAGGCACTTTGAGTAAAGAACCACAAAGGGCTTGGCTACTTTGAACCATCATGAGAACTACCTCACTTCTACTCTTTAATTGGAACAGCTTTATAAAGAATTCTACTCTCCCTCTGTCTGGAGGTATATAAACTGCCAAGTCAAGGCCCTGAACTCAATTTGGTGCCTCCAGTAAAAAGAACTATGATCAGGAAGAACTATAATTAATTTATAGGCAGATACAACAGTGGAAGAAAAAATTTACATAAGGTTTTCCTACCAACCAATTGTAATGCTTAAAACTTCCAAACACCAAATTTCAAGGTGCAGAGGTCACAATAATAATGTGAATGCACTACATTTGCTGCCATACAGCAGAGAACAGAGTTCTCTGACAAAAATAAGGTTTTGACAGGGAAAAACCTGAAGTATGAAACACTCCAGCGTCAGAGAATATCTACCCAGAGGAAAATGCTAGACAGCCAGGAAGAAAGGGGACGCCATAACCCTAAGGAAGAGGGAAGACAGGAAAGTCACACACAGAAGGGAAAGAATTTAGAAACACAATTAAAATTCTGTAAGACCATTATCTGGAGAAAACATTATTTGGAGAAAAATCCACTATTTAAGATAAAATGTTATTATAATACAAATTTCTATTTCCCGGGTAAGAAATATGAACTAATCTACATTGCTTTCATGTGTGTTAGTAATGCTATGGAGCCAAGGCAACACACAAGAGAGTATTTCAAATAAACTCTAATGAAAACCATTCTGTAAATAAATCGGCAGGAATTTTTTTCATAATCTAAAACTAATTTAAATCATGTTAAGCTGAATTTAGACCAAACTTACTTAAAGGAAGTATAATATTTTTTAACTAGTAGATACGAGACATAAACCTTAAAGGCAAAAACCCAGCTACTGACAAAATGTTCTAGAACAGTTATTTCTTCCACACCACCACAGGGAAGAAATGGAGCAGACAGAATGGCTGAGGTTCATATGGCCTATGTATTTGCAAATCTCTCAGGTCGGATATACTCTCCAGGCAGAGAAGTTTGAATTTCCTTTTTTCTCCCTTCTTCAAATGACTAAATTTCTCATCTGCCTATAGAGTGCATCATAGTGATAAAATGATTTCATCCTGAGATAGTGCTGGCACAAAGGAATCACTGAAGCATAATACCTGCCTATTACTCTCTATGTCTCTTATTATTCAATTCTCTCTTAATAATTATAGCACATTTACTTTCCTGGAAAAGTATCACACATATGACTATAGATTAAATTGGTGATGCCTGGCAAAATGCCAGGGTAGTATCCAATTAGAGCTGATTCTCATTTCAAAATGCTTAGGAAAAATGTACCTGCATCACATAATCCTACCTGTAGATTCTATAAATATCTTCGGACCGTCCCTTTCTAAGTCTGAGAAGCCAAGCTCCTGGGTTGGCTTTTAGCTGAAAGTAGCCCTAGGAGAAGAAAAACAAAAGCCAAATTTTAGTTCTTTTTTAAAACATCAAAATGCTGTTTCTTAGGAACAGTTACTCCTTTGGGTGTCTAAAATATGATATTTATCTTATAAATAAGATAGTTAACAAATTGGGCAATGCAAAAAAAAAAAAACCAAATAATTCAACTACACATTAGAAACTCTAGAAAATATAGTTCAGTCAAGCCAAGAAGTCTGCCCTTAGCTGTGCTTCAGGGAAGAGTCAATGTTCGATGACTAAATAAGCTGCAAACTTCCTAAAGAAAAGAACAAGGTTGACAGCTCATGAATAATGCATTTCCAGGATCCAATTCAGCTACAGCATTGTATTGTAGCATGTTGATTTTTTGCTTTATTTTAAAAACTTAACATGTAATTCTAATTTCCAAATTTAACCAAACTAATGATATTTATGTTTGCTTGTTTTGTTTTGTTTTGTTTTCCTTTCAGTGCTGGGGATTAAGCCCAGGAAGGCCTTACACATGCTAGACAAACATTCTACCACTGAGCTACCTCCCATCTCCAACCCTTAGCAATGTTGTATTTTTAATATTTTATTTTTAAATTTCTATTTATTTATTTTTGCAATGGGGGATTGAACCCAAGACTTTGTGGCAAACTAATGATTTTTATATTAACCAAATTCTGTCAATTATGAATCGAATTCTCACTTTATGGTTCAGAAAGCTAATTGTTCCATCGTAAATGACAGTGCCCAACTCAATGTGACTGCCACATCACCACCTGATTCTCTGATTATTTACCAGATTGGCCATAACAATGGTGTCCACAATAACTGGGTCAGCTGAAGTTCCTAATGTGAACTGCAGTCCTCGTGGGGGTTGGCCTGTGGTGATGTCATAGCAGTGGCCTTCTAGTAACAGGTACTCCAGCTCATACTCAGCAGCCACTATGCTGTCCACCTGCAATATCAAAATCACTACCTGAGTCTATTCAGCAACAACACGGATGAGTCCAAAATGCATTTTTACAAAGTAATGAAGAAGTCAAAAAGACTTACATATTACATGATCATATTGAATGAAATTCAAGAAAATGCAAAACTGCAGTGACAGAAAGCAAATCAGTATTGCCTGAGGCCAAGGTGGGGGACTGCCTGCAAAGGGGAATAAGGACCTTTTGGCAATGAAGAAAGGTTCTGTATCTTGATCCTGGTGATTATTGATTGTGTATAATTATAAAAATTGGGTTGAAAGGAAAAAAATAACATGGAAGTCATTCCAAAAAGAGAATAACACTCCTAATATTATAGAAAAAATTTAAAAACCTAAATAAATGGAAAGGCATCCTACAGCCATGGATCAGTAAAAAACTTGTACACAACATTCATAGCAACGTTACCCATAATAGCTCTAAGTAGAAACAACCCAAATGTCCATCTGTGAATGAATAGAGTGTGGTATACATATACAAAGGAATATTATCTGGCAATATAAAAGAATGAAGTACCAACACATGTGATAACATGGATGAATCTTTGAAGCCATTTTTCAGTGAAAGAAGCCAGTCACAAAAGGCCATGTGTTACATGACTCTATATAGACAAAATGTCAGAATAGGTACATGCACAGTAATAGAAAATAGATTAATAGTTGCCTAGACTAAGGGAACAGGGATTGACTGCTAATGAGTATGGAGCTTCTTCTGTGGGTGATAAAACATTATCTGGAATTAGTGGTAACGGCTGCACAGCTGTGTGAAACCTTTGGCCTGTACTCTTCAAAGGGTAAATCTGAGGGCATGAGAATTCATCTGAATAAAGCTATGACTTTTTTTTGTTTTTTTTAATACTTATTTTTTAGTTTTAGGTGGACACAATATCTTTATTTTACATTTAGGTGGTTCTGAGGATCAAACCCAGTGCCTTGTGAATGCTAGGTGAGCACTCTATCACTGAGCCACAATCCCAGCCAAGCTATGGCTTTTTAAAAACTACATTTTACTCAGATACTAATTTCTCAAAGGCCCCTTGATTCATTTTATTCAGTCAACCACCACTAGTAACATCATAAATGGGTTTTATACATGATTAAATATTTGGAAGCAATGACATTCTTACCTCTTCTAAGTAAATGTTATCAAGGTCATATGGTGTTCTGACAGATTCTACCATCCAGCTTTCAGGTGTGTTCAAGTTCAGAGTGAACAGTGGAGATTGTGGCATATCCAAAAACTTTGCTATTGGACCCTTAGCAAAGCTATTATCTGAAGTGAAAGAAATCTCTGGTTCTAAGACATAACGGTAAAAGCTGAAATTGAAAAGAAGAGTGTTAGATTTTTCTTTCTAGGCAACCACAGTCCTTGAGTTTGCAAGCATCAATACAAGTAAACACAGATTAAAACAAAGTAGATGTGGAGGAATATCCTTCCAGATTGGGAGAAGTACTTCCTAAACTATCGTTTAAGTTAATGATGCTTCCAGTTATAGATGCAGAAGAAGGGAAGGAGAAGTAGGATTGAGGAGGGAGCCATTCCTTCATGTGGGTGACTGCAGCCAAGCATTTCCTGAGCACTTTTTTCCCTTGGGAAGCATCCAGTTTCCCCTTAAAAACCAAGTTCTGAACCAGGTGTGGTGGCACACATGCCTATAAGCCCAGCAGCTTAGGAGATTGAGGCAGAGGATTGTGAGTTCAAAGCCAGCCTCAGAAACTCAGTGAAATCCTGTCTCTAAATAAAATACAAAAAAAAGGGCTGTGCATGAGGCTCAGTGGTTGAGAGTCCCTGAGTTCAATCCCTGGTACACAAACAAACAAACAAGTTCTAAATGGTGATTGAGTTCTCAGGCTAGCCCTAAAAAAAACACTACCTATAATAATTTAAACATCTCTTTATGGGAGGACAATGGTGAGAGCTGGGAACCCTTTGGTCACTTGCTAAGACTCTTTCAAAAGGCTCAGAATTTAACCTATAGAACATAGCACATTTGCAATTGAGGAATGTATGCTACACTATTAACTTCTTTTTATATTACTTTTTCCATAAATAACCATTCCAAAGCCCTTGACAATAGAGAGCTAAGCCTGTTCTCTTTTTCAAGATACATGTAAACTAACCTAAGCAAGTTTCCTCTAATATATCCATTGCAACCTGAAGTGACCACTCCTTCAAGATGAAAAGCACAAGTACAAGTAACCTGGTTTTTCACTAGCACCTAAATACTCCCAAGCCCACACTGTGTTCTTAGAAGTTCAGATTAGAGCTACGATTTGGCACAACTGAACATTTATTAAATGACCCTTTCAAGCATGAAGTCTACCTAAAACCCACTAAACTCCTTAATATTTAATCCTCCTATTGGATTTGGTTCCATTTTTCCAATTGTTGTCTTAAATAGTATGTTTTACCTTTTTAAAGGCATGTCCGAAAGTTTCGATTGGCAGTTCATAAATATCCTTAGGTTCATGTTTATAAGCTGAGTTAAAACCTAAAAGAACAAATCAAATGACAAAATATTAAAATTTTCTCTTCAGAGATTTTGTTCTTCAAGAACATTTCTTAATATCTCAAGAAAAATATAAAGCTGGGTGCAGTGGTGCATGCCTGTAATCCTAGCAACTTGAGAGGCTGAGACAGGAGGATTGTGAGTTCAAAGCCAGCCTCAGCAACTTAACGAGGACCTAAGCAATTCAGCAAGACCCTGTCTCAAAATAAAAAGTAAAAAGGCTTGGGAATATGGCTCAGTTGTTAAGTGACCCTGAGTTCAATCCCTCATACCAAAGGCGGGGAAAAAAAAAGATAACTGACATAATGTCTATAGTGAGGAAATTTCTGGAAATCACAACTCCTGTACAAAATTTACATCACACATACATATGACTTGGGTAGAGGGGGAAATAAGCTATCACTGCTCCTTTTATAAAGAAGTTTAACACAAAGTCATAGGGAAGCAGCAGATACATGACAAATATCAGATACATGATAAATATCTATCTACACAAGGAAAACGTAAGGGCTAGGTGATAGCCGGGCACAGCAGCACAGCCCTATAATCCCAATGGCTCAGGAGGCTGAGGCAGGAGGATTGTGAGTTCAAAGCCAGCCTCAGCAACTTAGCAAGGCTGTTTTATTCATCTCTAAATAAAATACTAAAAAGGCTGGGGATATGACTCAGTAGTTAAGTGTCCCCGGGTTCAATCCCCAACATCACCGACACACACACACACAGACACACACACACACACACACACGGTTAGGTAATTATACTTCAAAAAAATTATTACCTTAAAAAAATCCAAACAAAATATTGAAGTGTTTTGGTTAGTGCCTTCAAAACGTATTTAAAATTATAACATCTTTATAATAAAAGCTAAAAGACAGCTACAACAAAAAGTCCATGGTAATTATAAAAAAGGATAGTGAAAGCAAAATTCTTTTACCTTATTTATGATTTTGCTACTAGAAATTAAAATATAGCATAAATTAATTTAAAAATAGTTTGCTCTGAATGAGGATGCTACTAAATTTTTTAATTATATGAAATAGCCAACAAAACTTGTACCAACTTCCTAAAGTTATAAAGTTGTTTTCCAAGCCATTACAAACTTTATGATGAATACTCTGCTGAAGATGCCTGTAGCATTTTCCAATGCCCCTTGAAGATGACAAAGGGATAAAGGAAATTTTCAGAGAATTCAAGAGTACAAGACTACTTCAGATAAAAATGGTATGAAATGATGGAAGTGGTCCTTACCAAGAGCAATGGGGCAAGCCTCTGTGCTTCTCTGGTGACAGGGTCAATGACAGCCATAACATCAAAGTATGTGTCCCCTTCCTTTGGCCTCAGTTTAATTGCACTATGAAACATACAAATGATAAAACATTAACATGGAGGAAACAGGAAACAACTTTAAGTTACTGTGATGTTTTTGATTTGGTTCAACATAACCTATTACCCTTCCAGCCCTCTTAACATTTCAAAAAAACTTTAGAGCTGGAAAAACTATACTACGATGGTGGCCAACCATAAGATTAATCTATTACTAAAGTTTATAAAACCCTGATAACTCAGGCTTACTCAAAATGTTTTAAAGATGTATATGAAGAGAAGAAAACCAGCTTGAAACAGTATTTTTCCCCAAACTGTTAAAAGCTACTAATGTTAGGTTCTACAACTATTGGAACATCACGCTGATTTTTACTTCCTGGCAAAAAGAGTATGAGGAAAGAAGAAATAAATCATTTTTAAAAGTAATAGAGCTGGGGATGTAGTTCAGTGGTAAAGTACTTGCCTAACATATGTGAGGCCCTGGGTTCCATCTCTACTATCACAAAAATAAATTAATTAAAAAGAATATAAGAAGATTCCAAAAATCTACAAAACCGAGAAAAAGAAAAAAATGCAATCACAAAAACCTTATTATCCCAATGGACTAGCTGCATTTCTATGTCATCCTTTTTAGATACTTATATGAAAATTAGTTCTAAATATAGACTTAGGAAATTTAAAATAATTTCCTCCAACCCCCACCACTTCAACATAAACATTTCCACATATTGTTACACACCAAGCATCCTGAATAAGAAATGATATTTTATTTACCAAGTGAAACTGCCACAGTTTATTACTCTTTAATGCTGAAAATTTATACAGCTTTCAACCTATGAACAGTCTGTATAGACAGCTTCTCCATATCTGCAAAGTTCTTTAAAGAATCAAAGAAGATCTAGACAGAAGATTATGGGGTCATGGGATACAAATATCTTTGTGACTAATATGCGTTGTTAACTGCTTTTCCTGAAGATCTATAGTAATATGCAAGGCAAAACAATGAATCACACCACATCTTTGTTAGAATTACATATTTTGTCTGTTCTTATAGCTGGTCACTCTTTGGTTTTCTAGAAAGAATATACATTTATCCACATAAAGCTTCCTGTTACAACGTTTCCCTCTGAAGTCACACTGACTTAGGTGACTCAAGAGAAGCAGGGCCCTCTAATGAAGTTTAAAATTTTGAATAGATTTAAACTTCACCCAATTTTTCAAAATGACTGGTTTTGTTTTGTTTAACCTGGTAAGTATATTCTTGTGGTTCAATGCTGATCTCTACTCTTCTATGCAAGAGCATTTATTCAGTGGGATGAAAACAAAAGTATAACACAAAGCAGAACATAATTATTACAACTGGGAAATAATTAGATGCTGATGAAGTTATTTCAAATTTTAAGTGATTTGGAAATAATAATCACTTTAGAATAGCTTGTTATGCAGCAGATGCTTGCAATCTCATAATATTAACAACTTCAGATTCAATCACCTACAATGATTATTCCAACACAACAACACATTTTTACCTTAATGTAGTTATTCTCAAAATGTGGCTCCAAACCAATCGCATCAGCCCCACCTGGACATTTGCTAGAATCAAACTTTCTGGCTCCCACTCAGATTTACTCAGTTAGAAACTCTGGGGGCAAGTCTAACAATCGGCATTTTTAAAAGCTTCTGAGTAAAAGCCAAAATTTGAGTGCTACTGCACTAATATAATTTGCAATTCTGTGCTACTTTGGAATCCTAGCAGAAAAGCTCATTAGAAAATAGCATTTTAGGGCTGAGATTGTGGCTCAGTGGCAGAGTGCTTGCCTCGCATGTGTGAGGCATTGGATTCAATCCTCAGCACCACATAAAAATAAATTAATAAATAAAAGTAATGTGTTCATCTACAACTAAAAGAATATTTAAAAAGAAAATAGCATTATATAAACTCTTATAAAGGGAACAAAAAGTGGATATCTAATAGGACTCCACACTGGAACACAGCACCTTATTGGGCCTGCTGTGCCAGGGTTGGTAGTTTTGCAGGATCTCACCAGCACAATGATCTGCAACAGTCATGCCCAGCCAATGATCCTGTGAGGGCCTTTAGCCACCCCCACACTATACAACAAGGTCAAGAGAAAACGAAAGAAGAGAGGAATGTTGGTGTGCAAATGGGAACAATATAAACTAATGATATTACATTTAAATATATTTGCAGTATTAGTAAGAGAAAAGCCAGGAAAAAAGCCAAACATGATAGAGGAACAAGATTTCGAGATTATATATATATATACTTACTTAGAGTGAGTAAAGCAAATATCAAAGAATACTGTGTTTCACTAATGATGATATTCACAAGCATGGATCACACTGTGACAGTAAGGGTGTACAAACTTATGGTTCAGACCTTTTTATTCTAGCATAAATGAGAAATTTCTGATTTAAATATGAAAAAAACATTCATTTAGCTAAGACAACCCCAATAAGAATTTCTCTAATTATAATTTGTATTATAATAAAATTTGTAATTAGGGCACTTTAATTATATAAAACTCATGGAGAAAAGGATATAGATAATATATTATTATCAAGAAGTATGCAGTGTTGAAAAGATGGGTGCAAAGTGGGTGCAATCTGGCTGCTAGTGGCAAAATTCCATGAGGGTTAGATGGGAGCTGCAGAAGTCTCCACCCACAATTAGGAGGCACATCCAATGCAAGCAGAGAGGGAATCAGTCCCAACCTGCCATCATCAGACAGTCTAACCCCCACCAGAATTGGCTGTGAGAAATCACAAGTGACTACACCAACCAATCCATGCCAGGTAAATCAGGTCAGAATCACACAAGAGAAGCACACATAGAGTCATATTTAAAGCCTTCCTGGGATTCTAAGATGCAATCAAATTACATACTTTCCAGGCAATTGTACAGTTCTCCCCAAAAACAATTTAGTCTAAGTGGAATCACAAGGGAACAACCAGACTCTAGAACATTCCACAAAACAAAAGACTTGGATTCTTAAAAAATGTCAATGTTGGGGCTGGGGTTGCGGTTCAGCAGTAGAGTGCTCGTCTAGCACATGTGGGACACTGGGTTCGATTCTCAGCATCACATATAATAAAATAAAGGTACTATGTCCACTTATAACTAATATAAAAAAAAAGCCAATGTCATAAAAGACAATAGACCCCTCCCCCCCAAAAAAGGGAGAAGGGACTCTTCTGGACTAAAAGAGACTAAAGGGAGAACTAACTGCAACATGTGTAATTAAGATCAAAACAACAACAACAACAAAAGCACTTGTGAAAGGTCATTACTGAGACACTATAGAAATGTAAATAAGGATTGTGTATTAACATTACTGCATCAAAGTTAAATTTCTGAGGTAGCTATCAGTTCTGTGGAAGACATTCCTGTATTCAGGAGATTCATGCACACACACATATGCCTATATGAACAAAAAAATAACATGGTCACAAATATATATATATAGGTGTTCACATGAATCTGTTTATATGAAAACTGTACACCAAATCTTCCATTTCTATAACTTAAACACAAACCTGATATAGAAAAATAAAGGTAAAGGTAAGCCTAAGAGTTTAATATGCAAGAACATGTACAAATTCAACATTAATTCTATACCTGTGTCTGTCTTCAAAAAACCGGTACTCAATTCTTGCATCTCCTTTGGGTTGAGCTGACAGGAGAGCATCCACCTTCATTACCAAGTCACTTGCCCTGAAAGAAGAGATTAAGGAAATCTTACCATTAGTTTAACCATAGGTTTTCTAATCATTGTTAAACACATCACCAGCCCAAATACTGAATGCCGCCAGGATGGTTTAAAGAAGACATGAGGGGCTGGGGTTGTGGCTCAGAGGTACAGCACTTGCCTAGCATGCGTGAGGCACTGGGTTCAATCCTCAGCACCACATAAAAATAAAATAAAGGTATTGTGTCCACCTACAACTAAAAAATAAAGAAGGCATGAACTCATACCAACATGCATTAAAAAACAGTACTGATTTTGTAAGTGATTAGGTGGATGGCCTTGAGGACATTACTTATTTTTTGCATATATGAAGTACAGAGCCCTACTCTGCAGGACTCTTGTAAATACTGTGCTGACTAAACATATCAAGCACTTTTCACAGTGCCTGATTTATGACAGGTTGTCAATATTATTTACAAAACAAAAAAAAGCTCCTTCACTAGCTTTTAAATGATGTTATTACTTTCTGTGAATATTAGAGTAATAATTCACTGGAAAAATATTGAGAGAAATACAAAGGAGAACATGAGATTACACATAATAATCACCATCAAAAAATTAGCTATGATACTGTAACTCATAATTCTTTTTAAATATATATGAACAAAAGTGGGATTATATTTGATAACCTAACTTTTCCTTAAAAATTCATCATAAAACCTTTTTATTCGTTAACAAATACAAGGATATATTTTTATTTCAAAAACTATATTATAATATAATCTAGAAGATTACATGAGACTTGAAAAATAGACTACTCTGGCAGTTATCAAAGTCAAATGTCACTAAAATGTGGATCTTGAACTCTGCAGCAAGATGGTAAATGAAAAAGATGAAGGAAAAATAAGACAACTTTAAAATCTTATATCATCCAACTATGAATCAAAGAATACTACCAAGAGAGTGGAAAAGCAACCCATAAAATGGAGAGAAGGGCTGGGGATGTGGCTCAAGCGGTAGTGTGCTCGCCTGGCATGCATGCGGCCCGGGTTCAATCCTCAGCACCATATACAAACAAAGATGTTGTGTCTGCCAAAAACTAAAAAACAAATATTATTAAAAAAAATAAAAGGGCTGGGATGTGGCTCAGTGGTCGAATGCCCCTGAATTCACTCCCTGGTACAAAAAAAAAATAAATTAAAATGGAGAGAAAATATCTGCAATACATGTACCTAATAAGGAACTGACATCAGAATATATCAAGAATTCCTACAACTAAACAATAACAAAAAACCAAACAGCCCAATTAAAAATAAGCAAAGAATTTAAATGACATTTTCCCAAAGATATGCAAATGGTCAATCTGCATGTGAAAAGACATCCAACATCATTAAAGATTACAGAAATGAAACTCAAACTACTAGGAAATACCACTTCAAACCTATTAAGATGGCTATTAAACCACACACACACAATAAAAAAAAAAAAAAAAAGGACTAACAAGGGTTGATGAGGACTCCGAGAAACCCTTATGTGTAGGAATATAAAATGGTGCAGCCACTGAGGAAAAAGGTAGCTGAGGATATAGCTCAGTTGGTTGAGTGCTTGCCTTACATGCACAAGGCCCTGGGTTCAATCCCAAGCAACACACACACACACACACACACACACACACACACAATAATAATAATAAATATAAGACTTATATTAAAACAATTAAATATAGAGCTATATCCTCAAAATACACATAGATGTGATATTTAGTGTACAAATCAGGTTTGTATGACTACAAGCTCCAGTTATATAGCAGGTACATGGTCCTTTCAAATACTTAATTTTCTTTCATTAAGAGAAATAACCCACTAAAATACATTAGTTAATAAGCATTAAAATAATCAAAATAAAAAGCCAACAATAACCAACATCACTTTTGGAGGATGCAAGAACAACAACTCTGTATTCTGTACTGGGGGGGAGGGGAGGAAAAGAAGTATTTAACCTGCCTTTCCTCTCCTGAACAAAATAAAACTGAAGGAAAATAAAACAAGATTAAATAAGAAAGTCTCTCTTTCTGTAGATATTCCAGAGAATAAATAAGCTATGTCTACATATCAAAAGTTTCACAACATACCAGAATCAAAAATAAATAAAACTGGGAGAATTCAGTTCTTTAAATAGCAGCCTGGGAAATAAATTAGCTATTTTAACAGAAAGATAAATTAAAACATGAGGATTATTACAATTTAAAGCCAGAAATAAAACATCTTGGACTAGGTAGTGAACAATATATAGTGAGAAAAGTCTAATTAATATAAACTCTATAGCATGAACTAATTTCTCTATGACTCAACTTACACATCTTCTTCTACTCGAAGCTGCTGAATATGAGATTTTATTTTCTGCCCAGAAGTTTTCAAAATGATATTTTCTAGGAGATGGAAATCATCTTGGTTAAAAAGCTCACTGTCCTCCAGAGGCCCAATGATCTATGAGGAAAAGAAGAGTAGGTGGTCAGAGCAGACAAGCCATTCATCAGCAGCAGCTAAGAAGCCTCTCTGCTGGCCTCAGGCTATCTCATACACCAAATGCCTTAGACCCAAGGCAGGTACAAACAAACAAACAAACAAACAAAAAAAGTGAAAAAATAAAAAGAAAAGCCTGAATCATGAATCAACTCATAGTTATGTGTTTACTTATTAATGTCTCAGGCACATGGATTATACATGTATGTGTTTCACATTATTTTACAGTAAGCAAATTCCAGAGTAAAGTAGTAATGTAATGTAGTCTTCACTCATTCTCACCAAATATCAGTAATAAAGCCTACTTCTATGTATCAAAGTTGTACTGAGTTGGGTTCTGAGAGCCACCACACTCTCACTACTTCCCACAGTCAAGACACAAACAGCAGAAGGTTCTATATCCAAAAGCACACTTCCCTGAAAACAGGAGTAGAAATATCACTGGCACTTCAGAAGCCCTAATCACCTTTGGAAAGAAGGTGGCTCTATTGGAAGAGTTTACTAGGTCAGAGTAGCATGCTGCAAAGAGTGTTCATGGACCTAATGTGAAGTCAAGCTTGTCTCAGCTTGACAGATCCTCACCCTTCCATTGCTGATCACTGCCCTCTGTCCCTTCTTCAGCTTCAGAACATCCCTGCAGTACACGGCGTGAGACAAAATGAAATCCATTTTGGAAGACTCAAAGACCTCTTTAAAAAGACTGAAATCCATGCCCTAGGGAAGTAATCATTTTTAAGGAAAAGTCATTGTTACTAAGCAAACCATAATGAGTAATCAATGAATAAACCATAAAATGCTCTTTTATGACAACTGAATTTCAAAATTAACATTATGTCTCAATTCTCCACTCCCCCCCAATAAAATACCCATTCCTTTCTCCTATTCTATCATGTAATTTCTTCAATTGGCAGTCTGTTTTCCATACCTTTACTTTGCATTTTTAAATCTTGTTAATTTCAAGAGAGAGCTATTTTCTCTAACTGAAATTCAGTATACCTAGCATCTTATAAGAAATTTTAAAACCACAAACACTGTCAAAAATAAGTAACATTAACTAAATGAATAAATGCTGGCTTTTATTAGAAATATATCAAGAACAGAGAAGCCTGTAACTCATAAGTGGCTCAAATCTCCGTGTTTTTTTTTTACTTTATAAACAAATCAAATATTGCCTGTCTTTCAAACTGAATAAAAGGCATTGTCTTTGAAACATAGGCAAGTTTAAAAGCTAAAGGGAGGAGATGTAGCTCAGTGGCAGAGTGCTTGCCTAGCCTATTCAAGGCCCTGGGATTGATACTCAGAACAGGGGGGAAAAACAACAGTAGGGTAGCATCAGAATCATTTCTTAGAAAGATTCTAAAGGAAAAAAAAAAAGTCCTTTGAGACACGAGCTAATCACAAATACTGATATTGAATAGGACACATCAGCCCAAGGGAGTGAACAGCTATGGCAGAACAGGGAACGCATGGAGCCTTACCCCAACAGAGAACTCCCCAATGTCAGCTCCTATGGCTAAGGCCTCTGCTGTCTCCTCCTTGGCCATTTTGGTGATGAAGTTCTTAGCAGAGTTGGAGGTCTGAGTCTGGAGAGCTGCCCAGATTGCTCTGGCGATCTGAGTGTTCTCATAATTTATCTCTTCACTTGGATTATTGATCATGCTTATCCTAACATTGTTACTAGATTTCTATTCACAAAATGGAATAAAGAAGTATGAGGCAGATGTTTCAGATTTAAAAAGCAGCATTAACACCAATCATATTTCATAAGTTCTCTAAGAGCAAAATAACTGCTCCCTTAAATGTCTTCAGTAGTTCTCCTCCGTGTTCAGAATGAGATTCGGATGCTACAGTCACATCTTCAAAACCCTACATGAACTGGCCCAAACCTTCCTTTCAAACCTAATTTCTTACCACCCCTGTAATACAGCAGACATTACAGTCCATCAGAGCCTGATTTTCCCCAACACATTTTACATTCTTCTAACAAACATCATGCCTCAGGCTGGCCTGTGGACCTCAACTACATTCCATCTTTTCTCCCATAAGTTCCAACCACTCTTCAGGGCCCTGCTCAAATCTGTCTTCATGCATATGGTCTTTCTACCTGCCTACTAAAAAATTAATCTTGCCTTGAGTGAAAAGATAGGAGTCCACGTGGAAGAAGATATCCGGAACCCATAAAACCTAAAATAGGCTTGTATCAAGAATGTATGCAACATAAATGTATACTAATATGTATCAAAAGACACACATAAGAATATTCATAGCTTCATTCTTCACAATGGCCCCAACTAAAAACTCAGTTGTCCCTTAAACCGTTTACACAAAGAACAAAATTTTGTGGTACAGCCATTAAGATATAATACTACACAGAGAAAAAGAACTAAATATCACTGAGCAAAGAAACCAAATATAAACAAATCCATACACTAGGATTCCAGTTAAATAAAGAAAAACACAGATAGATGTTCTGTGATGTGAGAAGAGGGAAGAGAGTGGGTAGTGACCGGGGAATAGGTGGGGGAGGGATTTCAGGAATTCAAGAATTCTCTATTTCTTGATCTGAGTAGAGGTCACATGGGTGACACAGTATCCTATGATTTGAGTACTTATTAATCTTTATTTTACCTCAATAAAAATATGTTTTGAAATGGTATTCTCCTTCCCAGTTCTCCCACTCAAACACCATCTGAGTGGTTCATCAGCTTGTTAGAGTGCCTCATATATAACTCACATTTCACTAGAACTGCCTCTGACTTAACCTTGCACAATAGATGTACTTGGCACCATAATAACATTGAAATCATCTATGTAATTCCTTATTTCAGTAAGCCTTTCTGAGGGCATGGGATGGAAAGGAGACACAAAGAGGGTAGTGAAGTCTGAATGAAGCTGCAAATTCAAATAGCTCAGGAAAAATAATTTTGACCCCTCATCCTCTGACAACAGTACTCTCTAGAAGAAAGCTTCTTGTCAACCACTCAGCATTGTCATTCACTCAAGTCCTTCTACTCATATGCAACATCTTTCAGAGCATCTCTGTGAATATTCCTCTGTGTAACTTGGCCTCTCTTGAATCTCTTTCTGTGATACACAAGATCTCCGTAGCATCTCTGGAGCAAGAACACAATCACCCAAGAGAAACTTGTCTGATATGGTCTCACTACTTTTTTTTTTTCCCCCTAAAAGAATCTATTCCTTTAAATAAAGCCAGGAAACTACAGTCTTTGATCTCATTTCTTAGGAGCTAACAGACCTCTGAAGACCCAACACTCTTTCCCCTCAAGCACTAAGCAAGCAGGGCTCCCAATACCCATCAGAATGATCAGAGACACCTAGGAGGACAACTGCAGTCTCAAACAAAATTATAAAATGAAGTCCTAGGTACTTGCCTGATGTTTGATAGCATCATACAATAACTGCCTTCCAGAAGGAGTACCAAAATCTCCAACAATCCAAAAAGTTACTGGCCTGATAAAAGAATCATCTGTAAAAACAAACAAACAAACAAACAAAAAATAGCAAACTGAATTGAAAGAGAAAAGCACATCTTAGCATACTGTTATGAAGCCAAATATTTTCTAAAAACCATGCAAAAAGTAAGAAAATGACCAGTTTAATGAAGATACAAAGCAAAAGTAATGAAACTTCTCTACTAAAATGAAAGCAGAGTAAACTTCCAAGTGGCTTAATTACAAATGAGGAACATGCACTGATTAATTCGGAGGTCTGGGGATCTGTTAACATATAGAATGAAACATGTGAGTAACACAGAATAGACTTTAATCACATCAACTGATAACTAGAAACTATTATGCTCTGCAAAAACTTTTGCAAAATTTCTCTGCGTTAATATAGCCTATTGTTACCCACAGGTTCCAGCAACATCATATAAAGTGTCAATAAATTTTGAATAACAATAGTCTCTGAAGATAATTAAGAAAAAGAATAGAACATTCTGAAGTTTTGAGTTACCATAGATTTCCTTGGAGGACATTCCTGGACAAAGGTGAAGGAAAAAGAGTAGAAGAAAAACAAAATGTCATTTCTATAATTAACGCCCACTATAAGAGTCAAAAGATTAAATGATGGATAACACGATCTCTGCTTCTTTCAGTTCTTTAATCTCATCAGTGCTACAGCACTGTCCCAGGACCACTGAAACAATTTCTTGGAGGAACCTAATAGGGTAGTTGCCTATACTCATATATACCCAAGGAACCAGAAATCCTCCCTGGGAGAAGATCATCACAGGGATAAATATGGAGCTATGTTAAATGACAGGCATTGCTTTTTTGAAAGCATAGTAAATATAAACAGAGAGGGAAAAAAATCTCCCTGCTACTGAAAGAGCATTATTTTACACAATCTTTGCTTAATTAAGCAACTCTACATTTTCTTTTTTTTTTTTCCAAGTATGAGTGCATTTATTAATGAAATTGACAGAACTGACTAGTTTGTAGATTTAAATCTGCTTTTCTCTCTGCAAAATCTGCAGTCACTCCCTCTTGCCTACAGCTTTGTATTATATAAAAGGCCTTCATGGGCTGTCTCAAAGTACCTTGGAAGCACTGTTTTCCAGGCCTCCCAGGATTCAGCCTAAGCCCATGATTGAGTATTGCTCTTACACTCATTAGTTGCCTTTGTTTGCACATGCTTTGAGCATGGCATGTGTCAAATGATTTTTTCATGCCCCCCGCCCCCTGCCAAAAAATCCCTATGATGCTGATCTAATTGATTCTTTGTCTGGATAAGCAACTCTACATTTTCAAAAAAATCAGTTTAAAAAATTTACACCAGTCTTTCTAGAACCTAGTTTATCTTATAAACTCTAAAATAAAATTACCCTATGGTGTCACTGAAGAGGCAAGTAAAAACCTATTTTCAATCCATTAACCCATTTTTATATCATATTTTCCCATTTTGAACCTTAAAGGATTTTTCCCTTTTAACTTTAATAGCTAATATAAAATTTATAAAGACAACATTTGAATTTTTAAACATATATAAAGAATTAAATTTTAAATAGGCATTTTCTATAGACTCAAAAAGTTAAAAGAAATTGTGAAATCTCTTTCCCCAGATATTAAGATTAAATTATGTTTGTAAATACCAAAACAACAAGAAAAAATATTAAATCCATATAAGCCCCAAATAAATTACCTTTCTTTGTCAGATAGTTCATACTATTAGCTAGAGCAGCAGTCTTGCCTTGGGAATCCAAGACAGAAAATCTAGCATAATCATCCACAAAGAAATTATCTGGGAAAAGAAAAAATTAAAATAGATGTATAATTAATACACTTCAGTTCAATATACTGCTAATATTCAACTTATTACCTGCTTTGATCATAATAAGATGTATAAAAATACACGAGTGAAACATATTAAGTTCCACGTGTACTGAACAAGTTCACAGCATGATCCCTACCCCATTAATCAAACTTCAAGGCACAAGGTTAATGAGTCATGAACATGCCTCACAAATCTATCATGTATGCATATGCATCAGTTTAATGGTTTAAATGTATCCTGTTAACACCGTCACTTTGCAACTCTTAGAGATCTCTTAAAGATCCTCTCAATTCATCTCTCCTTATTCTAGTTCATCACTAGAGTATACTCCTCTCTAGATCACAGGGGGAAGATATAAGAAGAATCTGATTTTTACTTTCCATGTCTAAGAAAATAACATTTTTTCTCTAACCTTAACGGAAACAAAAAGTCATTTTCACTATTTTTAAGTAAGTATTTTCTTCAATTACTTCCCAAAGGTAGCATTCTTATTATCATGGTTAATGAGATCACTCCTTCTAAGACCTCAGTTTCATCAAGTTATTCCCTTGCTGTAAACTACCCAGTAATTTCTTCCCATAAAATGGTCTGCAGTCTACTATGATAAAAAGACTGCCTCAAGCAATCTACCCCACCTTAATTCCTATTACAACATAATACACACACCTTTCCCCATTACTGTTCAAAAACACCTGCTAGCCCGCCTACCTATCTACTTGTCTGTGCACCCACTAACCCATCTATTTTTTCACTCAAGAAAGTACTCTGAAATGAGATGGACATCATTACTCTAGGTACATGTATGATGGCACATATAGTACAACTTTACATCATACACTACTAGAGAAATGAGAAGCTATGCTCTGTTTGTGTACAATGAACCAAAATGCATTCTGCTATCATGTATAAATAATTAAAACAAGTTTAAAAAAAGAAAGAAAGAAAGAAAGAAAGAAAAGAAAGTACCTTGATAGTCACTTTCACCACTTCTATTCAACATAGTTCTGGGAACTGTAGTCAGAGCAATAGAAGAAAGAAATTTAAGGGATACGAAGAGGAAAAGAAGAACTCAAACCATCACTATTTGGGGGTGACGTAATTCTATATTTAGAAGACCCAAAAAACCCCACCAGAAAACTTCTAGAACTCATAAATGAATTCAGCAAAGTAGCAGGATATAAAATTAACACCCATCAATCAATTATGTTCCTATACAACAGTGATAAATCAACTAAAAGAGAAATTAGGAAGACTATTCTCATTCACAGTAGCCTTAAAAAAATAAAATATTTGGGAATCGATCTAACAAAAGAGATGAAGGACCTCTACAATGAAAACAACAGAACACTAAAGTAATTGAAGAGGACAAGGGAATATGGAAAGATCTCCCATGTTCTTGGATAAACAGAATTAATATTGTCAATATGGCCACAGTACCAAAAGCACTATACAGATTTAAAGCAATTCTATTAAGGTTCCAATGACATTCTTCATAGAAATAGAAAAAACAGTCATAAAATTCATTTGGAAAATAAGAGGCCCAGAATACCCAAAGCACTCCTCAGCAAGAAAAGTGAGGCAGGAGGCATCACAATACCAGACCTTAAATTATAATACAGAGCTAGCCTAACAAAAACAGCATGGTATTGGCACCAAAACAGACATGAAGACAAATGGTACAGAATAGAAGACACAGAGACAAACCCACATAAATACAGTTATCTCATACTAGACAAAGGAGCCACAAACATGCACTGAAGGAAAGATAGCCTCTTCAACAAATGGTGCTAGGAAAGCTGGAAATTCATATGAAACTAGACCCCTATCTCTCACCCTACACAAAACAACTCAAAGTGGATCAAGGACCTAAGCATTAGACCAAAGACCCTGAACCTATTGGAAGAAAAAAGTAAGCCCAAATCTCACCATATTGGATTAGGTACTAAATTTTTCAACAAGACTCCTAAAGCACAAGAAGTAAAATCGAGAATCAATAAACGGGATTTTATCAAACTAAAAAGCTTCATAGCAAAGGAAACAATCAAGAACGTGAAGAGAGAGCCTCCAGAATGGAAAAAAAATTTTTTGTCACCTGCACCTCAGATAGAGCATTAATCTCCAGGATATATAAAGAACTCAGAAACCTTAGCCCCCTGCACCCCAAGACAAATAACCCAATCAATAAATGGGCAAAGAAACTTAACAGGCACTTCACAAAAGCAGAAATATGACTGGTCAACAAATATATGAAAAAAATGTTCAACATCAGTAGCAATTAGAGAAATACAAATTAAAACTACAATGAAATTTCATCTCACTCCAGTCAGAATGACAACTATCAAGAATACGAGTAACAACGAGGATGGGGAAATAGTTACACTCCTACATTGCTGGTGGAACTGCAAATTGCTGCAGCCACTATGGAAAGCAGTATGGAGATTCCTCAGAAAACTTGGAATGGAAACATCATCTGACCCAGTTATCCCACTCCTGGTCATATACCCAAAGGACTTAAAATCAGCATACTACTGTGACACAGCCACATCAATGTTTTATAGCAGCTCAATTCACAATAGCTAAGCTATGGAACTAACCTAGGTGCCTTTCAACAGATGAATGGATAAAGAAGATGCAGCATATATACACAATGGAATATTACTCCGCCATAAAGAAGAATGAAATGCTGACATTTGCCCGTAAATGGATAGAACTGGAGAACATCATGCTAAGTGAAATAAACCAATCCCAAAAAACCAAAGGCCAAATATTCTCTCTGATATTTGGATGCTAACACAATAAGTGGGCAGTGGAGTGTGGGTGGGATAGAAGTTCACAGGATTACACAAAAGGGAATGAAGTGAAGGGAGGATGGGAAAGACAGTAGAATGAATCAGACATAACTTTTCTATGTTCATATATAAATACACAACAATGTAACTCCACATTATGTAGAACCACATAAATGGGAAGTTGTATTATATGTTTGTATGATGTTAAAATACATTCTACTGTAATGTAAATTTTTTAAAAATATTTATTTATTTATTAGTTATCGGTGGACACAACATCTTTGTTTGTATGTGGTGCTGAGGATCGAACCGGGGCCGCACGCATGCCAGGCGAGCGCGCTACCACTTGAGCCACATCCCCAGCCCTGTAATGTAAATTTAAGAGGAACAAATTAAAAAAAAAATTTTGAAGCATCCTGATTGTCTTATACTGGCAAACGTGTGGCATGACATCACACATCAGGGTAGAGAAAGAACACCACAGTCTTAAAGCAAGGATCCTTTTTGTTATGGTTTGAATCTTAAAAATGTACTCCAAAGGCTTCTATGTTAAAGACTTGGTTGTCAACCTGTGGTGCAACTGGGAGGTGGTAGAACTTTTAGGAGATGGAGCCAAGTAAAAGGAAGTTAGATGATTGGGACACTTGAAGGCAATATTGGGACCCCAGGCCTTTCCCATCTCATTTTGCTTCCTGCCACTAGGAAATGATCAGTGTTGCTCCACCATTCACTTCCCAATAGAGTGTTGCTTGTTACAGGTCCAAGAACAACAGAGCTAACTGACCACGGAATACAACTTTTGAAACCATGAGCCAAAATAAACCATTCCTCCTTTTTAATTTGGTTTTCTTAGGTATTTGGTCACAGTTGACAGAAGTATGACTAATACTCTTCTTAAAAGGTCCCAGTCAGTAAAGACTAGAGAAGATTAGGTGAAGGTCAGGAGGATGCCAGTGCCTGCTCACTCATATCTGCACTTGCTTCAAAGTGCAAATTGCAGCTATGCCATTACAGACCAGCACTCTTTCACAGCTCATCACTACATCCTTTGGTGGAAAAGGAAATCCCCAAACCCCCAACTGCTACCATGATCCTTATGCATAGATACTCCAAACACTGCCCTTCAAATCTAATTAAAAATGATAAAACAACAAAGGTCAGGACAAAGAATGATAGGTAATACTGCTTGCCTTGCTCTACTAAAACTTGTGGTAAAAGCCAGGCACAGTGACACATGCTTGTATTCCCAGGGGCTTGGGATCCTGAGTTCAAAGCCAGCCTCTGCCAAAGCAAGGCGCTAAGCAACTCAGTGAGGCCCTGTCTATAAATAAAATACAAAATAGGGCTGGGGATGTGGCTCAGTGGTCGAGTGCCCTGAGTTCAATCCCTGGTACCACACACAACCCCCCGCCCAAAAAAAAACCTTCTAATAAGAAGCTAACACAGTTCACTTTTTGAGCAGTTTCTTTTTAACATATAAGCATATGTTTATTTTTCCTCTGTGTGTTATGTTTATGCATATAAATACATTATATTTTTCAAATAAGCATAAGTTTACATTTTTTTACCTAAAAGGAAAGAAATTCAGTCTAAAGTAGATTAGTCATAAGAACTATAAATAGATTTGCATTTTAATTATACCCAAATACACCAACAAATACACTTGGTTATGATTTCACCTATCTTTCCTTCCCCAGCGATGATGACAGCTTCACCTTACTTATAGGTGTTTGCTGAAGTGGCCTGCAGAATCCCAGTGGAAAGAATAAGAAACAAACTGCATGACGGCATAACCAAGTTCTTAAAAGGTATTGCTATGGAAAACATCTAATATCTATCAACTGAGGAAAGGGTGGAATAGTCCACAAAATGGAATATTTAAGCCACTAAAAAGGAATGAAATATTTACTGATATGCTACAACATAGAAGAGCTACAGAAATGTGCTAAAGGAAAAATGCCAAGCACAAAAGGCTTCCAATAATAAAATGTCCAGAATAGGAAAAATAGGAACTGGGCTGCCGGGGGATAGGAGGAGTGGGGGGTGGACAGTGGCCCATGGGTTCTTCTCGGGCGATGATAACATTCCAAAGTTAGATAGTGGTGATGACTGCACAGCTTTGAGAATGAACTAAAAACCATAAAGTTGTGCACTCCAAAAGGCTAAATTGTGGGATGGGGATATAGCTCAATGGTAAGGAATAGCCTAGCAAGTGTTAGAACCTGGGTTCCATCTTTAGGAAGACCAAAAAAAAGGTTGAGTTTTACAGCATGTACATTATACCTCAATGAAGCTACTATATTTTTTAAAGGTATTCTTATGTTCTCAGAGTAAAATCTTTGGAGATATTTTTTGACATTACAAATGACTAATCTAGAGAATTAAGAAACCTCAACTGCTATTTGACTGTAAGAATGCCAATAAGTTGGTATTTAAGTGGCACTGAATATTTTCCAAAAATAAACTTTCTGGTTTTACCTAGGAAGAATTCATCTTCTTTAGAAGGGAATTCTTATGAATTTGAAAGCTCATATTATGAACTCAAGGTGCAATGAGTTTTAAAAATCAAATTGTGTTATAACCTTGGGTTATCTTATTAACATTATAGTCTAATAAATGAAAAGAATTTGAAGCACAAATCAAAAATCCAAAAGTTATTCCTGAAATGCTCCTTACTACTTGCTGTTAAATCCAGGTACTCTCGCTCAGCTGTCAAAATCCTGGAATTGATTCGTGGAACAACATTCGGCTGATTCATGATATACTCTACCACATCTTGATCGTGGGACAGTTCACCCTACAGTAAAAAAATAAACAGAGGGGACAGGGGTGTTATGTAAATATCTCCGATAATAATTCACTAGGAAGTAAAAAACTATCAGCTTGATAATAGCTTCTTTGTGTTGATAACAGCTAAAGACAGAAGTTACATGTCATTGCCAAGCATAGATAGATAGGTGTTTTATGTGCAGAATCTCTAACTACATCACCAATGTGAGGTAGATGTTATTAACATTCATTTTAAAGATCAGAAGGCTAAGGCACAGAAAAGTTAAGCAACTTACTAAAAGTTACAGAGCTAATAAGAAGAGAGTATGAAATGCAAACGTTCTCTCTACATACTACTGTGCTTCCTCAGAGAAAAAGCAAACACTTCAAATCAGTTAAGAGTTAACATAAGCAGGCCCAGTGCAGTGGCTCACACCTGTAATTCCAGCAACTTAGGAGGCTGAGGGAAAGGGATCATAAGTTTGAGGCCAGCCTCAGCAATTTATTAAGACCCTGTCTCAAAATAAAAAAGACTGGGAACATAGTTAAGTGGTAGAGCATCCCTAGGTTCAATCCATAGCACCAAGTAGACACACAATAGAATGAACACAAGCAGAAATTCACTGAGATCTACTAATAGCTACCTTTTTTCTAAAGGGAAAGTCAAAGCACTATTATCAATCAGATAATATGCTTTGTAATAAAATCACTCGTAGCTTTTTTCAATCTCAGGAATTCAAGTAACCCTGCATCTCTTAAGTCATGATTACACTGCAGGGAGGAGAAATCATCTGTCATTTAGTCAACTCTTTTGTGCACCTCATATTATAGAAATAATTGTACTTCTTAAAAGTGATCTTAGAGTTAGTAACTGGAAATCTGCAAAATTTATCATACTTAAAATATTTAATATAAAAGCACTTTTTAAAAAATTATTAATTGAATATAAACAAATCTAAAAACTCCCAATTAGATGTTGTTTGTGACTATATATCCTTACATTTATTTATGTATTTTGACGTTCATACCATCTATATTGCATCTTTTTGAACAGTGAGTTTAGACCAAAATTTAAAATGTGCACTATTCTGACACAGAGTTCTAATTCTTGGTATTCATTTTTAAAAATGTACAAAGATATACATTTAGAGTATTCACTGTAGCACTGTGAAAATCTAGAAGCACTGTCCAATATTAGGAGACAAAATAGATGATTATTCTTAAAATTGGGATGTACATGGCTAAAGTGTTCTGTGAATTGAAGGATGATATAAGAGAGAAAATACAGGCCGCAAAAGATCATTTCAAGAAAGAGCTAAATAAGCAATACAGGAAGCAAAAGATTACTCCAACAAGAAACAGAAATTCTTGAAATGAAAGAAACAATAAACCAAATTAAAAGCTTAACAGAAGCATCACCAACAGATTAGATAACTTGGAAGACAGGCCCTCGGACAAAGAAGACAAAATATATAATCTTGAAAAGAATGTTGACCACACAGCGAAGATGGTAAGAAACCATGAGCAGAACATTCAAGAATTATGGAATAGCATAAAAAGACCAAATTTAAGAATTACTGGGATAGAGGAAGGCACAGAGTTACAAACCAAAGGAATGAACAACCTATTCAATGAAATACTATCAGGAAATTTTCCAAACATGAAAAATGAAATGGAAAAATCAAATACGTAGAGGCTTACAGGATACCAAATGTACAAAATCAAAACAGATCCACACCAAGGCACATTATAATGAAAATACTTAGCATACAGAATAAAGAGATAATTTTAAAAGTCACAAGAGAAAGGAGTCAGATTACATACAGGGGAAAGCCAATTAAGATATCTACAGATTGTTCAACCCAGACCCTGAAAGCTAGAAGATCCTGGAACAACATATACCAAGCTCTGGAAGAAAATGGATGCCAATCAAGAATCTTATATCCAGCAAAATTAAGCTTTAGATTTGATGAAATAAAAACCCTCCATGATTAAAAGTTAAAAGAATTTACAACAAGAAAGCCTGCACTATAGAACATCCTTGGCAAAATATTCTGTGAGGAGAAAACGAAAAACAACAATGAAAATTAGCAAAGGGAGGTATTACACCAAAGGAAATACTAAACAAAGTCCAGTTAAATACCAAAAATAAATAAATATGACCAGGAATACAAATCATGTCTCAATAATAATACTGAATAATGGCCTAAACTCACCAATCAAAAGACATAGACTGGCAGATTGGATTCAAAAAAAGAAAAAAGACCCAACAATATGCTGCCTTCAAGAGACTCATCTCATAAGACAAGACACAGACTAAAGGTGAAAGGTTGAGAAAAATCATACCACTCACAGGGACTGCACGAACAAGCAGGGATTTCCATCCTCATATCAAATAAAGTAGACTTCAAGATAAAGTTAAGCAAAAGGGATAAAGAAGGATACTTTGTACTGCTCAAGGCAACCATACATCAACAAGACATAACAATTATAAATATATATGCCCCAAACAATGGAGCATCTATACCTTCATCCAACAAACTCTTCTCAAGTTCAAGAGTCAAACATACCACAACACAATAATTCTAAGTGACTTTAACACACCTCTTTCATCACTAGATAGATCTTCCAAATAAAAGCTGAACAAAGAAACTATAGAACTCAATAATACAATCAATGACTCAGACTTAATTAACATGTATAGAATATTTTATCCATCAATGAGTCAGTACATTTTTTTCTCAGCAGCACTTGGATCCTTCTCTAAAATAGACCATATTTTATGCCACAAAGCAACTCTAAACAAATACAAAAAAAATAGAGATACTAACCTGCATTACATCAAATCATAATGGAATGATATTAGAAATCAATGATAAACGAAAAAATAGAAGCTTCTTGACACCTGGAGACTAAATAATATGCTATTAAATGAATAATGGGTTGCAAAAGATATCAAAGAGGATATTAAAAAATTCTTAGAGGTAAATGAGAACACTGATACAACATATCAAAATCTCTAGGACACTATGAAGACAGTACTAAGAGGAAAGTTCATTCCACTGAGCTCATTCCTTAGAAGAAAAAAAGTCAACAAATAAATGACCCAACATTCCACATCAAAGTCCTAGAAAACAGAAGAACAAATCAACACCAAAAGCAGTAGAAGATAGGAAATAATTAAAATCAGAGCCGAAATCAATAATATTAAAACAAAAGAAACTGAAAAAATTGACAAAAACAGAAAGTTGGTTCTTTGAAAAAATAAATAAAATTGATAAACCCTTAGCCATGCTAATGAAGAGGAGACACAAAACTGAAGTTACAAACATCCATGATATGAAGGAAATATGATAGACACTAAAGAAATACAGAAGACAATTAGAAATTATTTTGAAAATTTGTACTCCAATAAAATAGAAAATATCAAAGCATCGCCAAATTTCTAGAGTCATATGATTTGTCCAAACTGAATCAGGATGATATACACAAGTTAAACAGATCAATTTCAAGCACTGAAATAGAACACACCATCAGAATCCTACCAACCAAGAAAAGCCCAGGACCAGATGGATGCACAACTGAGTTCTACAACACCTTCAAAGAAGAATACCAATGAAGAGAAACTTCCAAAATCATTCTATGAGACCAATATCACCCTGATTCCAAAACCAGGCAAAGACATATCAAAGAAAGAAAACTTAAGAGAATATCTCTAATGAACATAGATGTAAAAACCCTCAATAAAATTCTGACAAATCAAATACAAAAATATATCAAAAAGATAGTGCACCATGATCAAGTGGGGCTCATCCAAAGGATAAAAGGTTGGTTCAACATACGGAAATCAATAAATGTAATTCATCACATCAATAGACTCAAAGATAAGAATCTTATGATCATCTCAATAGATGCAGAAAAAGCATTCGACAAAATACAGCACCTCTTCATGTCCAAAACACTAGAAAAACTAGGGATAACAGGCACATACATATCTGAACATCGTAAAGGCTATCTATGCTAAGCCCCAGGCCAGTATCATTCTAAATGGAGAAAATTGAAAGCATTCCCTCTAAAAACTGGAACAAGACAGGGATGCCCTCTTTCATCATTTCTATTTAACATAGATAGGTCTTGAAACACTGGCCAGAGCAATTAGACAGATGAAAGAAATTAAAGGGACACAGATAGGAAAAGAAGAATTCAAATTAGTATTTGCCTATCATATGGTCTATACATATAAGACCCATAAAATTCTACCAGAAAACTTCCAACTACTAGATGAATTCAGCAGAGTAGCAGGACACAAAATCAACACCCATAAATAAAAGGCATTCCTGTATACCAGTTACAAATCCTCTAAAACGGAAACTAGGAAAACTACCCCATTTATAATAGCATCAAAAAAATAAATAAATAAAATACTTGGGAATCAACCTAACAAAAGAGGTGAGAGACCTCCAAAACGAAAACTACAGAATGATTAAGAAAGAAATTAAAGAAGATCTTAGAAGATGGAAAGATCATCCTTGTTCTTGGATAGGCAGAATTAATAGTGTCAAAATGACCATACTACCAAAAGCACTATATAGATTTAATGCAATTCCAATCAAAATCCCAATGACATTCCTCATAGAAACAGAAAGAGCAGTCATGAAATTCATCTGGAAAAATAAGAGATCCAGAATAGCTAAAGCCATCCTTAGCAAGAAGAGTGAAGCAGGTGGCATAGGAAAAGTAACAAAAATAGCATGGTATTGGCACCAAAATAGACTTGTAGACCCATGGTACAGAATAGAGGACACAGAGACAAACCCACATAATTACAGTTATCTCATATTAGACAAAGGTGCTAAAAACATATATTGGAGAAAGGATAGCCTCTTCAACAAATGGTGCTAGGAAAACTCAAAATCCATATGCAACAAAATGAAATTAAGGCCCTATCTCTCACCATGCACAAAACTCAACTCAAAGTGGATGAAGGACCTACAAATTAAACCAGAGACACTGCATCTAATACAAGAA